ATAATGTAAATGGTGTACATAATACCTCATCTCAGAAATATAGACAGATACTGAAATGCCGACAAAGATGAGGACAATAGTCCGAATAATGTAAATGGTGTACATAATACCTCATCTCAGAAATATAGACAGATATTGTTCTAAATTGTTTGTAGGCATAGCTATTTGGCTATTTTCTATTTAGGATGAAAGTATAGCATCTTTTCTATTCATAATCCTTCTGAATTGAAATTGATTATAATTTCTGATAATCATATGAAATAGAATGAAATTGAGAAAAGTGTGGAAGAGTAGATATGAGGAAAAAGAAGGTGAGAGGGAAAATAGAAAGAAAAGAGCAGGTGAAAGAAAAAAATATTATATATATATATATATATATATATATATATATATTAAAGGGAAATGGAAAGAGATGAACAAAAGACAGACTTTTTTGCTAAATATTAAGAGGGATTGAACAGCAGGATGAGACGGCGTAAAAATGGCAATAAATCACAATTCTTTTTGGAAAGAAAAGAGAGGATGCAGTAGAAAACAAATCTGCATTTCTTTTTACTTTGTCATATATGAAAATAATTCACTGAGATAGAAACATGAACAAGCAAAAAAGATTGGAATGAAAGAATAAAAAAGAGAATAAGAAGAGGCAGATAATGGAAAACCTTAATTGTCAACACTTGTGGAATTTCTATAGTTCCAGTTTTATTCTTATAGAAATAAGATTTTACAGTGATCCAGTAATTGCAAACAAGAATGTTAAACTCAATTCTGACCCAAAAATATTTCAATACCTAAAATAAAAGTAACCCCTTGCATACTAGTGGCTTCCTGCCTTGCTAGGGGTCAAATGCTTAAAAAAAGAAAAAAAAAAAATTTAACCCCTTCCCTGCCAATTATTTTGCAAAAAAAAACATTTTGTTTTTAGACAAATTTTTTATTTGTTTTTAATATAGTAACTAAGAAACTGAAGTAGCTGAGCAGTGGCTACAGCCTCTATCAGATGTATAAGTTAGCAATTGAAATTAAGAAATTTTACTAAATAGTTAAATATTACAAATTAAGGAATTTTTGGTCAATATATACATAAATGCATCAATAATTTCAGAGATGAATTTAAAAAACATAATATATTTTCTAGCACAATCTCCTTCATTGTCAATGTATTTAATTCAATAGTGAATTATTTACATTATTTATATCTAAAAAATTGTTCTCATTTTTGTTGCAGTTATCACAATGTTTCGACCAATGTGCCCTCCAGCTTTCTTCAGGCATTTATTAACTTGGGCAACTTTCAGAGGATTTCAAACAATACAATAATCTCCCTAGGCATGGACAGTAGAATAAGAACAGTCTAGTTGCACAGATTAAATAAAAGGTCCTGTTCAAAATTGCCTCAAGATTACACAGATTGAGGGCACAATGACCAGAACATTGTAATAACAACAAACATGAGGATAATAGCCTATAATATAAATAATGATAAATCCTCATTCTAGAAATTCAAACAGTATTGAATATTAACCAGATAGATTATCTAATGAAAATTTTGGATAAATTTTAGTTAATTTCATGTCAAGCTGTAAACTTATTGATTAACCCAAGTATGTGAGTGTATATATATATATATATATATATATATATATATATATATGGTATGATATGAGTTTGGATCAAATATGGATCAGAACTCAAAAGAATAAGATAAATAACAAGAAGTAATAGGAAATGTTTATTAATCGAACGTTTCACTTTTATTTGAGCTTCATCAGAGAATGAAATATGGAGAAAAAACATCAAACAACACAAAAGTAAAAATATCCAAATTTCTGTCTTCTTTTTCTCCATATCTCATTCTCTGATAAAGCTTTAATAAAAATGAAACATGTTAGATTGATAAACATTTCCTATTTTTTATCACATCATATATATATATATATATATATATATATATAAAGAAATATAGTCTTAAGGTGTGCTATATTTATGGGATAAAGTGCTCAATATCAGAGATAGGCGTGTGTAAATATAAAAGTGAACATAGAAGTCAACACTAACCCCAACCCAAGCCTCTAAGTGTTGACTTCTATGTTCACTTTTATATTTATATATATGAAAATAGATGAAATATTCTCCAGAGGAAATTTAAATAAAGAATTGTCTAAAATATGTAATAAAATCAACAAAAGTGGAGATAATAGTTAGTCATTTGTAGAGTATTTAATAGAGATTACATTGTTTGCTCATCAATTCTATTATTGCTTTTCATTAAGCACACTGATTCAATTCAGTGTGTTATGACAAAAAATAATAAAATGGAGTAAAGCTATTAATAAAATTATAAGTTTATATAATTTTTAATGGAATGATATATAAAAATCTTTTACATTGAAATAAATATTTGTGATATTCAAGTTTATTATATATGTACTATTTTCAAAATATCCAGGCAGTTTTGTTTGTGTCCTATTTTTTTAAAAGTAAAAGATTTTTGAGTAAAATAAGACACTTATATAATTTGTGCAATATTTTTGCAGAAAAATAATAAGTATAGTTGTAATGAAGGAACATTAAGTGCTTCTTTTAAAGTCCAATGTGCAAGACATTGATTGAAAAAATGTAACATGATTGATTGATTGTTTAAAACAATTCCCAGTTAATTCACATAGCATTTAGCGTTGATGCAAGTAACATGCATTTTCCTTTGGAAAAGTTGGTCCTAATGGGAAACAATAATTGACCAATCAGAATTCGTAGAACATTTTTAACTGTTTTAAAAGATTTGGTTTTTGCAGTTTCATGTTCTGATTGTGAAAATCACTACTTGTAGAAAGAGTCGACTTTCTGGAAGGAAAATGGAGTCTCTTGAACATTTTTGTAAACAATTCAAATTAATATTGTTTTAAATTTATTACTAGATGAAGTATTGTCAATTACTGACTTGTCTGCCTTAGATTTCCTCTACTGGTGTGGCTGTGGCCCTATATTCAACAGGGACTTTTAAAAAGTTAACAACACAATAAGAACATTTATCTGATTTCTCTTGCTTTTTTTATCATAACTTTTAAGAATATCATTTGAGCCATTAACAAGCAGTGTCGATCAGTATAAACTTCTAGTGAGATTCGAGTTCATATCTATTTTACTTGAGATATTTATATCACTGACTAATAATAAAAATACGAGAGGTTAAGATCTGAACTTCTGTAATTGACATGATCTAATCAGTAAATCAACTGTCTTGGAAAGAGAGGCTTCTTGAGGAAAAAGGATTTGAATTTAAATCTTACCATAATCTTATTTATTACAAATCCATATCACTAACAAAAAACTGTAAAAAGGACAATCTGTTGCAATAAAAATCTACAAAAATAAAGATTAAAGGAAGTTAATTGAAAAATTAAAATTTAACGGCAATGTATCATCTAAAAACTTTACAGATGGTTATATCTAACACTACTAGTTTATATAAGCAAACAAGATGTCAGCAGTGTAACAATCAGAAGAATGAATTCACAAGGTTCAGCCTTTTAGCAGAAATAATTATATTCTTCTAACTGTTCAGTTTTCAATCTCTAGCAAAAGTCAGGGTCTTTACTTAATTTTCAAGGTAGGCAGTCCCTAATTAGAAGATTTGCATGACACAATCTTCCTACCTTAATTTCTCTCTATTTTGGCCTTGTGCCATACAAAGCTAAGTTTAGTAAATCTCTGTTGGTCTGTCTTATAACTAAAATATTTGTATATATCTCACTGGCACCAGAAGATAATGTTCCAAACCCAGTAAAAGCAAAATCTTGAATGCTGATTTTTCAAGACAAACAGGCTATTCCCAATTGGAAGATTGTTGCAACACATTTTCTTCTATTTACTATTGCACCATATTAAACTAAGCTTAGTAAAATATAAATTCACAAAAATGATACACAATTACTTTGAGAAACATTAAGAATTTATTAGTTAATTTTGAAAAGGTTGTTTTATTGAAGGCATAAAATATGTTTTGATTGTTCGAAAGAATGTTGGATTCTATGAAAAAAAAAACATGTTCATATTTCTAAGTACATTTTTCTAATAGCTGTTCATGCAAATAACTCCAAGGAGACTGCATACTGATAAATATATATCTGATTAATATCATTTAATTCTTATTAAAGAAAATTTGATTGATTTTGTAAACATTTAGATGTTATTCACTTGATAGGTGATTGACTGTCTCCCAAATATTCCTTCATTATAATGATGGATTCTGAAGCTAATTTTACACAAAGTTTATATATTTTCTAGCAAAAAAGAAAATCGACAATATGGAAATAAAATTATAATGATAAAAGCTTTTGTGCAGTGATGGTTAAAGAGCCAAAAAGTGCATTCATATTTGGGAGGAGAAAATAGAAAGATACTATAAGGAGTAAAAGGAGAGGTGAGGAACTGATGTATAAAGAGAGGAGGGAGGAAAGTAAAGAAGGATGCAGAGTAGAAAGAATAGAGGGAGGGAAATGAGGGATAAAAAAAAGAACAAAAGGCAATGATGAGAGGTGGGAGGAGAATAGGAGGAAAGGGTAAAGGAAGAACAATGAGAGCCAGAAGGAAAAGTGGGAGGAACTACAAGGGAGTATAACGAGAAATAAGAGAAACAATTAAGGGGCAGAACAAGAAAAGGGGGGAATGACAAGAGAGCAGAATGAGAAGTGGAAGGAACAACAAGGGGGGGAAAAATGTGAAGAGGGAGTAACAACAAGGGGCACGTGGGGTAGAATAAAAAGAAAGTAACGACAAAGGAGCAGAAAAAGAAGAGCAGAAAACAACAAGAGGGGAAGATGGGGAGGGGGGCATTGGGATGGAAGAACACAGGAGGAACAAAGATGAGGGAGGAGAAGGGTGCGATAATGGGTTAGAGGAGGGAGATCAAATTTGGATGTGCTAGTTGTTTACCTGAAGCCAAATTGGAAGAGAATGAGCAAGAGATTCAGGATGGTGGGGTGCCATAAATACTTTACCCTTCGTGGCAGGGGAGTAGCTGAAGACTGGCTGGTTGCCTTGTTGGTTGTTCCAGGGGAAGTTTGTGGCTCCACAACCTCGTTACAGCTCATGAATTCCCCAACAACACTCACATTGCGTTTTTTTGATGCAACATTGTCCAGGTGTTCTTTCAGTGGCATGATTTGTACCCTTTGTGGCGTGTAGATCACATCTAGCAAAAAGAACAAAACAAATATTCATTATTAACTTATGACTATTACATCTATTAGGTATAAGCAATATGGCGTGATGTAAAAATCATAAAACAGATTTTTTTGTGTATAATACGCAACATTTTGAATGGAAATTAAAAGCAAAAAATTGGGTGACATTATACACAAGTATCATATTTTCATAAATTTTTCAGTCAGTTATGTGCCATATGTGATACATGTTTAGACGATCATGTATCTTTTGATACATGACCGACGAGGTAAATTTTTTCCCACAGTAGGTTGTGATTTCTTTCTGCAGTAGACCAGTTGCCATCCATAGCTATAGAACCCAGTCTGGTATTTACCCAAAGCTGGGGGGAGAAGAAGAGGATTCATACCTTTCCCAAGGGTATTAGCACGTAAGTGAATTTCAGTCAGTTATGTGCCATGCATGATACACACTTAGGCAATCATGTATCTTTCAATACATGACTGACAAGGCAGATTTTTTTTTTCTTATGGTGCACATTTTTAAAAAAATATTCAGAATCCATTGACCTTTTGAACCTGTAAAATGCATGAAGATAATTACATATGCACACTACTAACATCCAACCCAGTGGAATTAATAAAATGAGAGGAGAGTTTCATAAAATTTATACTAAACTATTTGATTAATTGTTCTTACTAACTAATGGAAAATTTCAAGATGAGCACCATCCCCATTATGTTACTTTTGTTTAAGTTGCATTTCATTCCTGCTGGCTGTGTTTCATTTGTTTTGTTAAGTTAATTATCAGTACAACTGTTTTTCTCAAGACAAATGATGATTATACAAAGAATTGTATTTTTTTAATATTTTATACAACTCTGAAACATAATTTAAAGACGATAGACATATGTGGCTAATATTGTCAAACACCGTCTTTTCTTCTCTTAAATCGTGCTCTTCTCCAAGTGTTGTTTAACAATGATAATGCTTCTTTGAGTATTAAACATTGTACTAACAGGTATAAACAAACAAGATGGTGCATTGCAAAAATCAGATAATGAAAAATGTAGCTTTATGGCTAAATCTAAAGGTAAGCTTTTTGTAGCCTAATGAATGTATATATTATTGCTTGTAGCTTACTTAAGAGAAATAATATCCAATCTTTCAACTAGGGTGAGTCTGTCAGCCTACCTTGAAAATCAGCATTAACAACCTTGGTATTTATCTGGGGAGTTCAAATGCTAACCACTTGCACTAATAAAAGATATGTAACTACTTCAACCATTAAGCAGACACTTTTTATTAGTTAATATAAAAACAATACACCAATATTTTTCTACAGTTGTTTGTAGGTATTGTTAATAAATTCATAAAAATATGGCCTTAAAGTGAAATAAGATAATATTAAACCAAAATTGAAAACAGAAATGAAACTTAATTTTACAAAAGTTTTCTCATTTACTTAAAAGTCATGAATTTTATGTAAAGTGTTTTCATCAGTTACAATCTATCAAAAATCACCACTGGTGAAAAATTAAAATAATGCACATTTGTTTTTATAAGATTAAATATGAATTTAATTTTAAACCAATTTTTTTATTTTTTTATTTTTTTTGTTTTTTGTAAACATTTAAATAAAAAAGGATTCACTTACTCTTGATCTTTCCTTTGAAATTTTTATACTCTGGGTCCATTCTCTGTGTGCATGGGCTCGCACCTCCTATCCGGATGTGATCAATATTATCCAGATTATGAAGTGGATAAGTCTTTGTGGTCGTCTCTTTATCCACCTGAGACAAAAATAACAAATATTATAATCAAAGGAAGTTATTACAAAGATGATTGCTAAAAAAACAAATATTAAAGAATTTGGAAGACAGAGACTAAAATTCCACCTATGATATTGAGAGCCTTGAGCGTAACATTGATTCCAATTCTTAGAAGTTTTCTTCAGACCAATTGTCAAAGAATTCACTAAGATGCAAGGGATTACAGAATGTGAGAGAATTAATCTCACTAATATCCATATATTTGTTGTTCATCAAAAATCACTTTTTCAATTTGAACTAATATGCTCATCTTTGTTGGAAACCTTCTCAGAATTTTGAACTTTTCAAAATTTCAAAAAGGTATGACAGACACCTGAAGAAAGCCAGGGAGTACAATGGCTTAAACGTTATGAGTATAAAAATCAAAATGAGCATGCTAGTATGAATTGAAAAAGAAAAGCATATATTGATGATCATCATAAAATTATTATATTCCACATAACATTAGAATACATATCTTCAGTTTTAATGTTTCATTTAAAACATTCTTCAGTTTTTTGTCCAGTTTATAAAGAATAAAGACCTAATAAAAAGGTACAAAGTAGTTTGTAAGAAATGCCAGCATCCATTTAAAGGCTGAAAAACATTTTAAAGCAGCAAAAATGAAGATATTAGTAAAAAAAAATATGTGTTGAATAATGAAAAAGGCTGATCTCAAAACTCAACACAACATAGCTAACTTCCAGGAAAGTGACTCATTGTTGCCTTCTCTGGATAATGTTCTCAGCTGACATGAAGTGAAAAGACTATATTGAATCCATTACTAGGTCAATTGCTAAGTTTGTTGGTTCACTGTGTTGTACAAGATGAATTTTCTCTCTAGAATTTATCTTACATATCTATAAGTCTACCATTTGCCCATGCTTAGAATATTGCTGCCACATATGGTCCAGTGCCCCTGCTCTTTGATAAAATCCAATCCAAAAAAGAATCAGCAATATTATTGGTCCTGCTCTGGCGGCTCAGCTTCAATGACTTACCTGCCACCATAAGGTTGCCTCTCTGTGACTTTTCTATAAATACTTTCATGGTAATTGTTTGGAAGAGCTTCAGGTGGTCAGTGATGTCAGTTCGCTGGTGGATGTGGGGCGCCTTTCATTTCGCGTGAGTGTTTTTTTTTCATATTTGTTGTTGTGTCTGAATGAGTGCATGTCAATGTGAGTGCTTGGGATGAATGAATGTTTTATACTATTATAGTCCCGCATTGATTTTGGCCATTGAACCGATGTTTCTGCCACATTTAGTGATTGTGGGGGGTTTTATTAATAACCTTATTTTTCTTTAGTTTCTTGTAAATAGTTTTTGTATTCATATTGTAAATACTCATTGGGGCTAGTGTTTTAGAATTGTTGTTTTACTCCCCTCTCCCCAAAGACAATGAATTGTAAATATGGGGACTAGTTAGTATTTTCATAGAGACAAAGAGGTATTATGGTGGTTGTAGTAAGAAAGGTACGTATGAATGTGTTGTTTTGGTGTAAGGAATATTGTTCGTATGATTGGGTCAGTGTTTGCGGCTAGCTAAGTTATAGTTAAGACAGAAGAAGACTGTCCTTTCCCCAATCCCTTTTTCAGCCTTGTGTCACATTTCTGTAGAAAACAGAATAAATATCGCTCTTCACTATGATACGTAGCCTTTTTTAATTTAAGTACAGTACTAGAGTGGTATTGAAATCTTATCAATTTACAGTTTATTTGGCTAGATGTAACCATAAATTCTATGCTAACAGTTTCTTTCCTCACACTTCTTACTTGTGAAACTCTCTTCCAGCTCCATGTTTTCCAGCCAACTTTAATCTGCAAAAATTTAAATGTAATTTCAATCGCTATCTACTGTTTTCCTGATTACTCTTTCCTCTTTTTGCTCATTATTAATGTTAAGTTTTTGTTCCTAATTCTTCCACACCCTGTAACCCCTTTTATCTTAGCAGTTTTTTCTTTCTTACATTGGGTGATGCCAGTTACCCCCCCCCAAAAAAAAAAAATGGTGTCATAACTAATTTCTGTCTTTGGGCACCAACTGTGATATTTTGAAGAATAAAGTTGGTAAAAAAAAAAAAATTATTTATGTCTCAACCTGATAAAACTCCAGCTTCTGTGTAAATTTTGAAAAGACATTTTTTTAACAAGAAGCAATTTTTGCTAAATTAACCATTATATTAAGAACTAATAAAAAAAAGTTTTATTTTTTGGCAATTTTAAACAAAGCATTTTAATTCGTATTACTTTTTCACTATTATTTTATTCAATCTTATCATTGTTCCTTTTAGCAAAAACTAACTCACTTCATAGATTCCACTGAAGAATATGGAGCCACAGCTCTCAACCTGTTGTGGTCTTTGCAGCAAGTGGGTTTTGACTAAGTGGAGTCGCTAACCCTAGGCCTAAATGGTTCTGAAATCAGAGTAATCCTTCTCCAAGACTGGTTACAGCCAGGGCTGAAGAGACTAGTTTTCTCTATTTAACGCATAGCTGAGGGAGAAAGATATTCGCACCAAAGTGGATGTAATGAACATAACTGAAATACAAACTCATCTAGCTGATTTCTCATTTGAAATTGCTCTACTGCAAGAAAAGTTGAGTCACTGTGTTGTGCCAGAAAATTTTTCTCATCAGAGCCTATCTTGCACATTTACAAATCTACCATTTTCTCATGCATTGAATACTGCTGTCATATCTGGTCTGATGTTCCTGCTGTACATCTTGAGATTCTTGACAAAATCTAAAGAAGGATCTGCAATATAATCAATCCTGACCTGGCATCTTGACTTCAGTCACTTTCTCACAGATATGCGGTGGCTTCCCTCTTTCTTTTCTATGAATATTTTCATGGCAACTGCTCTGACAAGTTTTTTTCTCCTGGTTCCCTGGCTACATAGATAGGTCCCACCAATTTACTCTTGAAATATCTAAATGCAACCACCATTTCTACTCCAACAATTTCTTTTTTCACACTTCTCACCTGTGGAACTACCTTCCATTTACTTGCTGCCCTGATAACTATAATCTTCAAAAATTTAAATGCAATGTCAATCGCCATCTTCTATCTTGAATCTTGTTCACATTTTATCCTTTCCTCTGTCCTCCCTATATTCAGTCTTTTCTCTCACTTTCACTTCCTGCACCCCTACCCCTACATACTAGTGGCATTCACACCTTGCTTGGGGTGTAATAATTAAAAACAAAAAAAATAAAAACATGACATTATCAGCACATACATAGCTACAAGCTTGTAAGAAAATAATAATGAATACTTATCCAAGATAAAGTAAAACTAACAATAACATAATAATCATGGAAATGTTTCATCTAAAAAGCAATGCATTAAATGTAAAGAGGTAAAAATGTTTTATCCCAAAAGTAACAAGATGAGGTAAGCCACTAATAAAATAATAGTAGCAATAAGTCATTCTTGTTTATTTTTATGCAAAACATTCAACAAAACTTTATAAAGATCTAAAAAGAACTTTCATTATTAATAATGTGTTCTTTCTTTCAAGTGTAACGGCTTTTGGTATTTCTTCTATCGTAACTTACCCGCAATTCTAGTTCTCCCGTTTTTATTTTTCGTTGATAATAAATCTCGTGTAACTTGCCATCATTATAGGTGCCCGTTGATGATACTATATCTGGATGAAGGACATAAAACTCTTTTAGTGGATGTTACTTCAAAAAGACAATTAAAATAAAACTTGAAAAAAATAATAAGTAAAAATAAAAGAATTTTTAGGTAGATTAGATGAAAAGAGAAATTAAATTTAAAACAACAATTATTTAATTCTTTTTACTCTTCTTTTAATGAATATAGCAAAAATTTGAGTTTAAAAATATTTTTCACTACATGTAAGCAGTTATTATTTTTAATACTTTGTTTATTATTTTTAAATAAGCATTTCAAGTCTTTATTATTTTTAAATAAGCATTTCAAGTCTTTAAAATAAATCTTAAAACTATTTCTTAAAAAACAAACCATTCTGATATTTTTATCAATGAAATCCTTTCATAATTTATTTTATGAAAAATTCAAATGATTTTGTGATTTTGCCAAGAAGACCTAGAAAATGTTAGTCATGTAGGCACAAATGAACAGAGGCTAAATTTATTTCAAGTATTGCCTTCAAGCAAAATTGATAAATCTTTGAAAACAAAGTTCTTGAACAGATTTACATTTTACAGAAAAAATATATTGATCAGACCATTTAAAAATTAAAATTGTTCTTTATGTTTAAATCATAAATGAATTATATTATTATAATACAGAAACTATTGTTAAAATTGAAGCCTTAATTGGCTTTATTAATTTTGGGAAGTCATTTCATTAATTAAAAAATACAATTTTAATGACAAAGACAGTCTTTGCGATTAGATTAAGTTTTTTCATAAAATTAGTCTAGTACATATCTTGTAGTGTTATGCTTGGAGAAAAACATTTAAAATTCAATCTTGATATTAAGAGAGTTAAACAGAAAGAAATCCATCACAAACAAACAAATTTAAAAAAAACTTATTAAGAGAAAAAATGGTTAAAATAGTATTCAATGCTTTATAAAATGTTTATAGACCAAAAAATGCATAAAATTAGTTGCCTGTATTTATGACAACATAAATTTTGGACTGAGATTATAAAATGATTGAAAGGAACCTGATGTTTGTCAGCATGAGCTCCCAGTTTAAAAAATGAAGAATGCCAATTATTTCATCTTGGATAATGTAGAATATTGTCTTGACATTCTGGCTGAAGTTTATGTTCATTGTTCAATGTCATGATATCATATAGTCAAGCTCATCAATACTGTCTAGAAAGTTGTGAATACAAGAATACTTGATGCGGCTGTATTTTTTTATCTAGCATTCTAATATTGAAATGTAAAATGAACAAAGTACCGTGGGGCATTCTGTGTTAGCAGTAATGATGCTTCAGCCTGATCTAGGAGACATCATCTAATGAAGGCTTTGTTGGTAGTACAACTGTTGTTTTTATTTATTTATTTTTTTTGTTATCAGTGGGAGGTTGTTTATTCTTTTTGCTGCATGTACATGGAATTATATATATATATATATATATATATATATATATATATATATATACATACACATATAATTATAGATAACTAGACTCGTTTCGAAAAACCCTTGAATTTTTGATTTGCTAATAATCAAATCAATCTCGAGGGAAAAAAAGGTTTTAAAAAAAAGAAAGAGCTACAAACATTAACTTCTGCCGACTAAAAAATCGCACAGATACAGGTCTGAAGCCCAAAGAAAAAACCCCAATACGAGTAACAACTAACAAAAGCGCTCAATACAACCATAGAGCAGACCTAGATACACCTAGTGAGCCAGACAAACCTACCTAGGTTTCACCTAAATGGATCGTCAGGGAAAGTAAGGCTTACTTTCCCTGACGATTCATTTAGGTGAAACTTAGGTAGGTTTGTCTGGCTCACTAGGTGTATCTATATATATAAGTAAAAAATATTTTTTTAATTTTTATAGTTGTTATTTTTCTATTCTAGAAATTTCCTATGATTTAGAATTTGTGGCATATTCACTTTGATTATGCTTCAGTGAAAGAAGGAATTTAATTGGATAATCATTCAGAAATTGATAAGACACTTCTTTATTGCTTGCCACAGGTTACATTATAAGATTAAATTTTATTTAAAAAATGTAATATTCCTTTATTTCAAATTAAATTAATATTTTAGTAAAATAAAATAAAATGCTGAGGAAAAACAAGTTTAAACATCAGATATACTGCAACAAAACATTTACATTCTATCAATTATCCAAACGAGTATCCTTATCTTTGTTGTTTTCCTTATCAGTGTTTTTCTTTCATTCAAAAGGCAAACATATGGGTTGAAATATCGTGATGGAAACAATAAAGATACCAGTTTGACTAATTCATAGAACCATGATATTATTTTATATCGGAAATAAAGACAACATAAAAATGCGTGATTTGTTGCCTCAAAGGATGCAACAAATCAGCAAGCATCAACAACCATGCAAAATCAAAACATTGATAACATTGAAGGCAGAAAAAAAGCAAAATACAAATTTGTCTGCAATCAAAGCAAAAAAAAAAAAATATCATTTTTGTTTTCTGCAAAGCATGAATTCTTCTCTCCAAAAATGCAGATAAAAAACAATAATCAAAAATTGTTGAGTCAATGTTCAAATGTCATCATCATGAGGCTTTTTAAAAAAAAAATCTTGGTTATAGATTGTAGTAGAATTTTGAGGGAATAAAATTTGATACAGTAGCTGCTCGTCTCAAGAAATCCTCCTTCACAACCATGTTATAACTAATAAAGCCAATTGCCTGGTCGCATGTAGCACCTGTTTATGTCTAGGTTGAGAAGTCAGTGATTGGTTGAAGTGTGAACAAAAATTTGTATGACATTCTCATATATAAACAAGAGTTACATGCACACTTTCTTTTCCAATGGAGAATATAAGCCACACATTGTCACTTGGTTTAATGAGGCAAGTTGCCATTTTCTCCACTATATAGATCTATATTAAATATTTATCAACAAGAATTGGTTTGTTTTGCGCATTTTCTTCACCAAAATGGTAATACTAATACAGCTAAAATATAATACCAGTTTTTCATTTCTTAAAAGAAAAAAGATATTTGCAATGATAATTTTTATCTCATAATTGCTATGTTTTTAAAGATCATGAATCTGTCATGGGGTATAATCATCCTGGGTATGACGATAAACTACATCTACATCCTGGGTAAGACATTAAACTACGTCCAACAGCAAGGCCTCTGATCAGGAGGTTTTTGAGGAGCAAATTAAATTAAACCTCTTAATTGCTGGTGTTCCCATGTCCACCCTGATCCGGGTAGCACCTGTTAGGGTCCCAGGTATGGGTAAATAGTTAACCCCCAAACTGGGTTCAGAATACTATGAAAGTGTAAAAATAAGTTTTAATACCAGAAATACATTATAAAAAAAATTATTACCAGTAATATATTTTTGGGAAAAAAGATTACCATCAATACATTTTTAAAGGAGAAATATCACCAGAAATAGATATTTTGAAGAAAAAAAATATTACCAGAAATATATTTTTGGAAAAAAAAATATTACCAGTAATAAAAATTTTGTCGGCATTAAATAACCCATTGAGGTTGATATGCCGTAAAACAAACCAAACCACGGGATATAAAGAATGTTGCTACGATAAAATTAGCAAATAAAATTGAAATTCAATCTAAAGTAACATGCACCATCACTTTGTGTTATCACAATAGTCTTGTTATTGGCATGACACAAAGTGGATGGTGAAAAATGTATTCAGGTCAGTAAATCTTCATTGCTACTGGAACTGTATAATTCAGCAGGGTTTCATATTATTTAGAAAAGAGATGGGCATTATCAAGTAATTTCTCTTGCCCTATAAATGCCACAAAGAATAAGACCAATAAAATAATGGCAGTCAAGTCTCTTCACTATTACTGGTACCATGTAATCTAATATTGTTTGTCTCCTGTTAATTTCTTTTAGGAGATGGCTAACACTAATTAATTTTGTTTGTCCTACATAAGCCATGATGGATTTAGAAAGGCATCCAGTCAATCTCATTATGTAACAGTTACAAATCATTTTACGATAAAATATGCTATGTTATTATGATAACCTTTGCAATTAGTAAACTTTGAACCTTGACCCATTTATTTTTAAAACAAGAGGGAACAAAAATTATTGATACAAATAATAATTCAAACAGTAAGCCACACTGCAGAAATCTTTGCCTTTGCGTCTGGCAGTTATCAACACCACTTTTCTTTAACGTTTTTTTCATTGTCACTCAGTTTGCGCAACACTTGATGACCAGAATTGAACCAATCAAGTTTTCATCAATATTTCTAGTTATTATGTCAATAAACGAAGATATTTCATCATTTCAGGCCCCTGTCACTTAGATAAATATTAATAAAAAACAATAAATATTAATTATTATAATTGTAAATAACAATTATATTAAGTAATAATTATAATAATATCAATAATAAAAATTATTATTATGTAATAATAATTATAGAATAAGATATTAACAATAATGAGTATTTAGTAAGAAGAGTTTTGTAAATTCAGTCATCATATGTTGCTCCACTATAGTGACCTTGTGCCAGACGAAGCTAAGCTTTGTAAATAACTAAGTAAAAGTATATACTGCATATTGTTTGAATAATTACCACTTTTATTGAAAAAAAAAAAAAAATTCTTATGCTTAAAAAAAATTAAGATGTATTTGCAAATACAAATGATATTAAATAAAAATCTGTTGCTATAAGGCCAAAAAATAATTTTGGGATACCTTACTTTTTTAATTATTCTGTTTCATTTGTTAATTATCAATTGTGCTAATTATTACCCTTTCAGCTTTAAGTATCTGATTTTAAAATGGTAGAAAGTTAAATTCATATAATAAATTATATATATATATATATATATATATATTATAGTGACGACCTGATAACCACCCTACCAAAATCATCTACAAGCTCAATCCACCATCTGTAAACTGGAGACAACCTCATGGTAGACTACGCAGCCACTGGAAGGATGCCATCCATTAGGACCTCCAGCAGATTAATCTGGCGCTGGAGGAAGTTTTGATGCTCTGCCAAGACTGTAAGAGCTGGAGGGAAAGGTGGATTTCATGGGGTCAACATCTTCATGACATGGAATTTAGTAGGTGGCATAAGTGTTATTGGTACAGAAAATGTAATCAGTAATCCGAGTTTAAATCCCAGAGTCTATTTGTGTTTTTTACTTTATATTTACAATAAATTAGTTACTGAGCAATGCAGGCTGACTTTGCTAGTTAATAAAATAAACCAATTATAATACTAATATTATAATAATAAAAGAAAATAATGGACTGAAGATTTACTTTTATTTAAATCTTAGTAATCTTTGGATACAATTTCTTTTTATTGTTTATTATGTCGAGAACCTTTTCACTTAAAGGAAGTGCTTTACAATTTCTTTTTGGTATTTTCAAATTATCAGAATTGCTGAATTTGAGCTCTGGAACTTTTATTAAGTAAAAACTTATGAATTGTTTATTTTGGTGGTTGGCCATTGATACTAGAAACAGCAGAAAGAGAAACAGTTTTAATCTTATTTTTTTTAAATATTTAATACTCTCAACAAAGTTTGGTGGTATTTCAAATATAATAATACTTCCAGTAAGTTAGTGTCATGAATCACTAGAGAAAAAAAAACATTTCAGATGGAAACCTGTGAATCTAAAAGAGAATTAAGCAACATAGCATTACATTGGCAATCAAATAGATTTGGGAATGGCATGACCAGGATTTCCACAGAGCATTAACATTATAACATAATTTTTGTTTCAAGACTGGTAATTATGAAATTTAAGAAAATAAGAATTATCAGTGTTGATTTTTTTTTTTTAAATAATTACTAAAAATACCTTCAAATATCTAAAAGCATTTTAGGATACAGTGGCATTAATTTTATTTAAGCATTTTTCATTCTATTTATTCATGATTTGTTTTACAGGATTTCTCGTATTTCTCATGTGCATTATTTTAATTTTTTTTTAATATTATTACACCACCAGCACATCCAAGCTTATAATCATTGATTTTTAAATCTGTTTTGTGGTTTTACATTTGAACACGTGATATATAATTGAAGAAGAATAAGGAAATAAAAAATAGTAGGAATTAGTTGGTTGACTGATTTGTTTTTTTTTTATGTGTTATCAACCCTGTGATGGTTATTTAAAGCCAGAAAATATTTTTAGATTGTAAGAATTTTTTGATATGATAATGATTTTTACAGATACACGTTCTACTAATTAATCGACAGCTGGGGGAGAGCAAATGTGAATTCATACCTCCCCCAAGGGTATTTGTGCATAAGTGAGTGCAACAAATGCAACCAGAATTCTAACTTTGCACTCTGATATCCAGTACTACACTCAAGTTTTCAGCACCTGGTAATTCCAAGTGGTCACTCATCTAGGTACTGACCAGGCTCAATGCTGCTTAACTTCAGTGATCATATGGTAACTAGTGGTTCAACATGATGTGGCTATAAATCATGTGGTTTGAATGCATATTTGTTTGGCTTTCATAGTGGGGATTAATTAAGAGTTAATTTACATAGCAAACAGCGACCCTTTATTAAATTAATTTAATAATAATAATAAAAAAATTGATATCCATAATCTGGAAGATTAATCTATAATAATATTAAAAAAGATTTTGAAAAAATTATTATTTCTGGTCGCAGTGCCTATTCTAAAAATCCACCATTAATTTTTCTCAGAGTTATTCTGGAAGAATTTAAATCCTGAAGGAATTTTTTTTTCCAGTTTTGGTATACAGTGAGCAGAGATCAGGGTTTGGCCAAAAACTAACATGGTGGAAGCTAAAGTTTCAAAAAGCAAACACTCAGATAAATCTTCAGAAAACCAAATCAGATGATCAATTTCACTCAAGGAGAATAACATCTACCATGCTTGATGTGTCTACAGAAAAGGATGGCAATAGATACTCGATTAAAAGCACATAATAGAGCATGCAGTGCAGACACAACAAAAAGGCAACACAGGTACTAAAAAGGTGTCACGTGGGCCTTACTGCTCTGGTCACCAGCCATGAAGAATGGTTTCAACTAAGGCCTCACCTTGGAAGCCTTTGAATAGTGGAGGCCTGCCATGCCAATCTCACGGAAGGAACCAATGAAAAAAACAAGAAAAAAAGAAAACTTACAATTGCCCACACCTTGATCAGTTTTCATAAGAATCCTGTGTTCTGAATTCATAAAAATCGTCAGGTAGTCGTTGCAGCTGTACAAAATAAAAAAAAGGATAAAATCATGAGAAATTGGATCTTTCAGTATCTGTCTATATTTCTGAGATGAGGTATTATGTACACTATTTACATTATTCGAACTATTGTTCTCATCTTTGTTGCCATATTTATTACAACGTTTTGGCCTTTCAGTATCTGTCTATATTTCTGAAATGAGGTATTATGTACACTATTTACATTATTCGGACTATTGTCCTCATCTTTGTCACCATATTTATTACATTTCGGCCTTTCAGTATCTGTCTATATTTCTGAAATGAGGTATTATGTACACTATTTACATTATTTGGACTATTGTCCTCATCTTTGTTGCCATATTTATTACAACGTTTTGGCCTTTCAGTATCTGTCTATATTTCTGAGATGAGGTATTATGTACACTATTTACATTATTCGGACTATTGTCCTCATTTTTGTCGACATATTTATTACAACGTTTCGGCCATTGTACGTTCCGGCCTTCTTCAGGTGGTTGGAATGTTCAACTGAACCCTTTATTTCGCTCACTGGGGTAAACTGTTCTAGTTCCACATGCCATGTTTAATGGATGTCAGTTATCAGTTATCTCTTGTTAATTCCCCTGTCCAAGTTCTCCACTGCCTTAACCGGGTATTCAACTCACACATTTTGGGTCCTGTCACTGGATCTAACTAATGCCTTTATCCGCTGTGCCATGTGTCCTTGAGGACATCTGTATATGAATTTCTGGGTATTATAAACCTAATGTTTTCAGCAATTATTTTTTTTACGTGCTCATATTGCAAATTGGATCTTGACTTAGAAAACTTATAAACAAAATTAGTTGCTGAACTGTTAATATTAAAAAAAAAAAAAAAAATCAAACCATTTGTGATGCATTTCAAACTTGTATCTTCTTTGTTGTTTTAAAGATAGCATTTTTATGATGTTTGACCTCTCTCAAAAGAAAGAAAAAAGAATAATGTGATTCCCCAAAAGGGGCAGATTAAATGTAAGCTTGAGGAAAGCCCAAGAATATATCAACCAAAATAAGTCCAAAAGTTTTATCTCAGAATCTAAAAAAAAAAAACAAAAAAAAACAAGAAACAAAAAATAATTTGACATTTGAATCACAACAGGTAATCTTCTAAACATGATTATCAACATTAATGACTCAAATTATTTTATTTCATAGTCTCTCATCTGTCATTTTATCATGTAATTTGAATAAAGAAGATGGTGGGTGGTACATCAACTGTTACTTCATCTGAGTTTCCTTTTTGATCAAAGTTCAAAACTTTCAAAATTTCTTTTTATGCAATTTTTTTTGGAAAATGTATGTAATTCTTAATATTTGGAAGGAAAAGTGGGTTTTATTTTCTGTCAAATCTAAAAGTTTTTTTTCCTTTGAAAACGTGAAATAAAAATGTCAACATTTAAAAGTCGGTTACTTACTCAGAATTGTATATGTCAAGTAAGACTTGTTTTCTTTTGGCTTTTGTCTGAAAAGTCAACAACAACTTCTCTTCCCTGATTCTCTTTGTTCCATAAACTTCAGGATCAAATTTCATATCCAGATAACTGTTTCCATTAAAGTCACCACAAGGAGCTGAAAAAAAATGTAGATTTGGATTTAAAACACTTGTAAATCCTAAAAATAAATATATTGGATAAACGGAATACCAAATAAACATTTAATCAATGTTCAAGTCAGCATTTTGTTTCATACTTTTATCTTAAAAAGGAAAGAATAGAAAAGTTTGTTTTTTTTTTAAATTTCAATTTTATAGAACAGGTATTCTGAAACAGGAGATATTTTATAGACAGACAACAGAATCATAGATAATTCTCCAAAGGTTAGAGACATTACCAGAAATTTTATACTAAATCATATTGGAGTCATGCCAATGTAAATATACTTACTCAGATTACAAAGTCTACCAGTGTAACTGCTCTGACTGCAGTCACATGTAAAATTTCCATCTCCCCATTCATTATTACAAAAGCCATCATTGAGGCATGGATTAGAGATGCAGCCTTCTTTGCACATGTTCTTTACAGCTGAGAAAGAGAACATAACAAAGTTACCAAATCAGATATGGATAGGAATCTGACAAGATGATAAAATAAAGAACAAGTAGGAAAAGCATCTCAATCTAACATGTTTCACTTTTATTAAAGCTTTGTCAGAGATCAAGATAGAAATGAAAAAAGCAAAGAGACACTGAGTAATGGTATGTTATAATTTTTGGTTAATTCCTATTGGTCTGATACGTGTTACATATATAAATGCAATAGATAATGTATAAATATATATAAGAAACATTTGGATGTTAAAATGTGTGATAGTGTATGAGTGTGTATGCAAAGAAATGCTTATTTGTGTAGGTGTATGTTAGATAGTAACGTTAATCCATGTAAGTGTATAAGTGTGTGTGTGAGGAATGTCTATAGATGTCACCCTCATTTATGTCAGTGAAAATGTAGTGAAATGTTGCAATAATTTTGTATTTGGTTGGATTTTTATATTCTCGTGTATGTGTAAACGTGTGTGGGAAATATCTGTTGTCGTCACCTCTGTTTAGGTCGGTGCCTGTAAACATTCTTTCTTACTGGTGATTGCATGTAACAATCTATGAGAGAGTAAAAGTGCCACTAAAAATTGTTTTGAAAATGTTATAACATGTATATTGTAAATATTATTTTTGACATACAGTTGTCCCCACCCAACATTCCACAGTTTTAATTATGCACTATAAACAATTCAAAAGTTATTTACATAATTTACAGTCAGTCTAATGTCCTCATCTTTGTTGTTATCATCCTAACATTTCAGCTGTTATGGACTCTGGCCTTCTTCAGATATATATATTGTACCTATGGGACAATAGTATAAAGGATTAAAGTATTGGTTCATGAATTTGGTGGCATAATAATAGTGAGTTCACTCCCTGGTCCAGTTAGTACAAATTCATATTCAGTGGAAACAGAACTAATAATCATTGAGTAGTACTAAAAAGAGTACAATGAAATATCCCAAGTCATCAGAATAAGAACAATCTGTTCTCATAGATTAAGTAAGGGGTTAAGTTTCAAATTCCCTGACGGTTACTCAGATTGACAGACATCTAAAGAATGCCAGAAAAAAACATGAATTGTCATTATAGTAACAACAAAGATGAGGATATTAGTCTGAATGTAAATAATGATAACTCCTCATTCCAGAAATTTAGACAGAAGGCAATCAGGTGATAATAACAACAAAGATGAGGATATTAGTCTGAACATAAATAATGATAACTCCTCATCCTAGAAATTCAGATAGAAGGCGATCAGGTGATAATGACGACAAAGATGAGGATATTAGTCTGAATGTAAATAATAGATCATCCCAGAAATTCAGACAGAAATTTATAAGTTTTAATTAAGGCTGTGGCCATAAAGGTTTTACAGTAATAACATATTTCTGTGTATTTATATAAAGTATTTATCATTTTTCTCCTTAATGTGTAGCTATATGTTGATTATGTACATTTTAATGTTAATATGAACTTTGTTAATTCCAATCTGATAATGAGGATGATTGCAAAACAGTTTCCCCTCCCCAATTTATAGACAAAACACACAAAATGCATGCTGGGATTTCTTCCTAGCTAATAAGATAGACCACTTCTCAGTCTCATCTGACTCACTCCCAGTCTGTCTTGAAGTCAGAACACTACGTTCGTTTATCCAAATTCACTCTTGTGTGTCAACCCCCAATTCTTAGTTTGTGAATTTTTTGCCTTATTAAATGTTTATTTGCCTTATTAAATGTTTAATTGCCTTATTACTGTTTATTTGCTTTGAATATATTGTTTGCTTGTTTTATATTATTTCTTTGCCCTGTTTTTTTTCTTTTTTGTTATTGTTTATTGCAAACTTTGTCAGTTCTGTCTGTTGGGCAGTTCTACCATTTACAATTAACCATGGCCATTTACTGTACAAACCTTAAAAAAAAAAAAAAAAAAAAGGATTATTTTTAGTTAAAATAATGTTTTAAATATCATGCTGGAGACATAGGTATAAGTATTCATCCCTTTATCATTACACACATTTAAGGGGAGGTAACTATGAAAACAAAACAGTAAACTATCCATGAGTAAATGTCATATTTTCTAACAAATATCTCCAAAAAACATCATAGCTCCTTTTGACAAACAGTTTTTTGCAGGCATGAATGTTAAGCATTGCCAAATATATATTAGTAAGGATACCCAGTAATGCCTAGGCAATGTTCTGTGCAGTTTGAAAGATTTGCATATTCACTAAAATAATAATAGCAAAATTGTCAGTTCTGTGTAGTGCCAGAAATTTTTTCTCGTCCAAATCCATTCTTCAAATCTATAAATCAACCATCCGTCCTTGCATGGAATATTGCTGTCATATATAGTCTGGAGGTCCAACAAAATCCAGAGATGAATATGCAAGAGGATAGGTTCTGATCTGGCATCTAGTCTACAATCAATAGACATGCCATGGCCTCCCTCTGTCTCTTCTACAAGTATTTTCATGGCAACTGTTCTGACAAGCTATTTTTAACTGGTTCCTGGACTGCGTAAATTTAAGTGAGTTACCAAACTGGCATCTCAGACCCACCCTTTCACTGTCAAAAAGGTTAAATGTAACCGTCTCTTCTACTCAAACAGCTTTTTCTCCTGCACTTCCCATCTGTGGAATTCCCTTCCCCTTACTTGCTTCCCCAATGACTATAATCTTCAAATATTTAATTTTAATGTTAATTGACATCTGACACCCTGAGCTTGTTCCCCAGTCCTTCTCTATATCCTTTCCCCAAATATGCCTCTTTACTCTTGTTCTCAATCCTCTGTAACCCCTTGTGTGCTGGTGGTACTCCCACCTTGTTTGGGGTGAATTGCTTTAAAAATAAAAAAAATTAAAACAGTTCATTTTGGAACTTATTTTAAATACTATTAAAAAATATCAACACTGTTTACTTCCCTTTACTCTTACATAAGGATTGAAATAATAAGGGTAGAAAATGGTTTTCTTTGAAGAACTAAGCAATTTAATTATAGATGTCATCAATAAAATAACTGCTTATTTATAAATACCACAAAAGATCAGAAAATACTAGAGAATTGCTGTTACTTAGTCTTCATGTAGATATAAATATTATAATAATAATAATAAGAAGAAACAACCAGACAAGTATGAACACAATATAGACCAGTGCAGTGTTAAAATTGATAATAACACCAAGGGAAGTGCTGGAAATTTGGAAGACTTATTGTCATTTAGTCCTCAGTGATAACCACTAAGTATTTTTTGATGTGAAAATGTAAATATGATAGAGTAGGAAAAGTAACACACTGTGAATTGTGCAAAGGAATTACATTTAACAAACTAAAGAAAGAGAACCAACATGAAAAAATAAGAAAATACTTAAAACTGAGATCCAGGCCAATCACTCCATCATCCCAGCAAGAAAACCAAATTTGGTTGTTATAAAGAAAGTTACAAAAATATGGTTGTATCAGAAACAAAGACAAAAAAAAAAATTACGCCTTTACCAAGGAGCAGAAAAAATTGTGGAACATGAAACTTAGAATTGTGCCCAGAATAATCAGAGAACTTTGGAATTGTATTAAAACTATTAGAGGTGAGTCTGGATGAATTGTGAAGATTTGAGACTATTCAGACTAAAACAGTTTTTGGGTCTTTGAGGATACCGAGTAAGGTGGTGGAAATTTAAGGAGAATTGGTGTCACTCAGTTTCCAGTGACATCCACTAAAACATTGGATGACCAATGAAATATCATAATCATGATAAATTCTTTTTAAAAGAACAAAAATTCTAGAAGTTTGAGAAAGAATTAAGTTATACAGACTACAGAAATGGCAAGAAGACTGAAGTGAGTGATAATGATTCAAAAAGAATTGATACTAATTGGTTGTTAATAGTGACCATCAGGCATCGCTAGTATGCAATAAGTAATGAGAAAGAAAGAAAGAAGGGTATTATAGAAGGAGAGAAGAAAAAAAGAGACAAAAGCAGAAATAAAAAAAGTGAAGAAATGGAGCCATGATTGGAATTTTAAAAATCATCATACTGAGATTTTAATAACAGTTCTCAGGGCAATGGAGGTTACTTGGTGACACAGCTCTTTTCACCCCAAACAGTTCTGGGTCACATGTTACCATTAGCAGTGATTCCTGACATAAGATGGATTGATGTGTTTTCCAAGGGTATTAGTGTAGATTGTGTACAAACAACTTCAGCAGGAATCTGAAATTGGTTCATTCATTATGAATAGAATAAATCATAGAAAAGAAAAAAAATATTTACTTACATTCTTCATTTCGGCTTTTATTTCTTAAACCAATAACATGATCTCCAATCTTCAGTCCACGTATGCATCCTTTGAAACGAGATAACTGTGTCATCTGTGGTATGACACCACCCACGTAAAGGTAGACAAAATCTTTCTGCGGTGAATAGCTTGGTGGTTCTACTGACACTGAAATAAACAAAAAAAAAAAAACTTATGAAGTTGGCAATTTGGAATTGATCATAATTTGATAATACCTTTTTACTCAAATATTTGACAAAGGCTGCCATTAATTTACAGTCTATGCTAATATTTTATGCAAATAGAGAAAGATTACAAGATAATTATAAAACCAATGATTGAAAAATCACAAAATTTTGGTCAAATACGTCTTTTGAGAAGACGATCGCAAAATCACTTGCAGTATGAAATAGAACTGAATTTATGTTTTAAACATACGAAAAATTATTTTTCAAACAGTTTCCCTTTTTATGCAATCATCTCAAAATAATTATTGTGAAGATATGTAAAGGTAAAAAAAAAATGAAATCTAATAACTATTCCAACCATAATTTACTCAAAGAAATGATTTACAAAACTGCCCCTAAAAAGCTGGGTTCAAGTAGAAAAGTAATATGATTTGCTAATAGAATTTCCTTGAAAGGAAAGTAATATCATTTACTAATAGAATTTCCATTTCCTCTCATGGCTTGAAGCAGACTACTCTCAACAGATATTAATTTAAGAATTTCTTCAGGTGTAATGGCTTCATAAACAGTTAATATTGCTTTCCAAAGTTCATTTTATGGATACAAATTGCTTGTCACCCTTCTAAACATGTCTTTTGACAATTCTCCTAATGTTCTTGATAGAGTTTCGATCTGGTGAACATAGCAGCCACACCATAAGACTTTTTTAAAATCCTAATTTACCTAAGTAGGCATTAGCTGAACTAGCAGCATGAATCAGATCATTGTTGCTCATAAAAATGGGTTTTGCTTGAATAGCACTTTCATTATCGTCGTCTTCTTAAGCTATATCTGAAGAATAGTCTTTTGCAAGTCAATGTAGTCAGAAGAGGTCATTTTAACACCATAATCCACCTTTGAGGGACCAATCAACTCATTCCCATTGATTCCCCTCTAAACATAAACCCCACTTCCATCTCCTCACTGACACATCAAGCAAACAGGCTTAAGTTCCACTATCAGACAACACTCATTTGCCAAATGTTTCAATCCTACACTCGTCTATGAATAATGCTTTCTGGAAATCCAGTTTCATATAAAGTCTGGCCCAAACTGACACAATGAGGTGATTTAATTCAAAGATAATACACAAATGTTTTGGTGTACATTCCTAATCATTTCATCATTGAGGCAATATTGTGATATGCTTTAGTCACTTTTACAGCTCCAAACAGTTTGAGCGTCCTGGGTAAGATGATAAATTATGTCCAGCAAAATGGGGTCAAAAATCCAACCTTCACTTTTCACCAGGGAAGATGCATGTTTGTCCACCAAGCTCAGAAACAATCCTTTATTCATAAGCAAAAAAACAACGGCTTTTATTCACCTAGCAATTTTTCTGATTGGCCACACCATTCAGGGAAGGAAAGAACATTAGCATAAATTCTGATACTTAAAGTAGCAGATTTTTGCTAACTACTTTTGGTAATCTTTCTTTGGCAGATTGTACACAAAACACAAACTCTTTTTTGAGGTAGGTGATTATCTCTTTCACTAACCTGTAAGATGATGGGAAATAAAACAAAAACACCCACATAAAGAACAAAAGCTGATGTGTAGTATTTTGGGTTTCTTGGTCTTATTTTGAACTCTTTTCCCTCCAATTATTTGCCTTTCAACACCCTTTCACCTTTTTACTTTCAGTCAACAAAGACAGAAGATTTGGTAGTGAAAAGAAGAAAGCAAGAAATAAATAAAACAGATAACTTCCAACTCTTGAACAAATATCAGCTTTAGGCATCAAATTTACTGATAATACCTGTGGTTGATGGGGCTGCCACACCCAGCATATATGGCTACAATTAAAAGCATAACTGACATAGCATCTGTCCCCTATGTGCATATGGACACCTCAAATGTATTGCATTCCTAATTGACTATAGTTTTCATTTGATAGATGTGTTTATTTTTGGCTGTATATTAGCATCTTTCTAATTTTATTCTATGATTCCATCTTCAGACCTTGGTTACATTGAAGTTTATAAAACCAGCTTCACCCAACAAAAAGGAAAAGATTAGATTTTTGGCCAAAGAGAATCACTTTGATAATCTTGAAAATCTATGAAAAATAGTCCATCAGTTGTGTTGTAACCTAGAAAGGGTTACTAAATGAGGAATAACCAAAACAGAGGTTGGAAATGAAATGGTAATCTTTGTAGCACCACCAAAATACAATACTCACCAGCGGCGTGAAGTAGGTAAACCACTGCTAGTGGTGGACTACTTAGACAGTATATTACACCCTCCTCACCACTTACAATAGTGTCCAAAGTATTTATGAGGGTTGGAATATACCCATTACTGTTCATAGGTATGGTATATAATAGATAGATAATAGATAGATAGATCGTATTGTAACCTTGAAAAGGTTACTGAATAAGGAATAACCAAAACGGAGGTTGGAAATGAAATGGTAATCTTTATAGACCAACAAAGTACAATACTCGCCAGCGGTGAGAAGTAGGTAAACCACTGCTAGTGGTGGGCTACTTAGCATATTACCCCCCACCCACCTTTAAAATAGTGTCCAACATATTTGTGAGGATTGGTACATACTCATTAGTGCTCGGTATATAACAAACTAAAAGTATTACCTTTTTTGTCAAATATTTCTTGCTTCTTTTTGAATCTTTTGTGAGGTATTGTGATTTCCTCGTTACCAACCTGCAACCTGGTGCCCTGTTCAAGAACTTCTGCTACGATTTGATGCCATTTCTCATTGTTGAGATTCCCTGCAAATACAATTAACAAAACCATGTTTTACATATTTTTCATCAAACATTAAACTTTGGAAACAAAGAATATTTTGAAAAAATATTTTATTTTCTAATAAATATTCTTAAAAAACATTATTAAAAATAACTGCTTCTAAATGAGGAACATGGCAAAAAGTATGAGAAAAACATATATTGCATAAAATAATCTTATTATGTAATAGACTGTCAATGTAAGTTGGCAAATTATGAAAATCTGAAAAGAATTTGTAACTGGATAATTAATATAACTCTTATTAAAAGGAGAGTGTAATGTTTATATATGTGTAGGTTATCCCACTTGATTTTGCCAAAAGACCGTTGCTAGGGGGCGCTGTAGGGACATTATTATGAATAAAGATATAAAATAATAATAATAATGAATATGTAACTAGTTTAAATGTTTTCTTGTTTTATTGTAATTGTAAATTCATGTAATTCCTTTTTGTCAATACACGCAATTAGTTGTCATTTTTTTTTTTTTTTTTTTTTACTTGAGTCCACAATGATTGGTGTGGGACAAATATTCCAGGAGATATGTTTCTACCTAAACACACTAGCATCCCATAAAATATGTGTGTGTGTGTCTATATATATATATATATATATATATATATATATATATATATATAACAAACATACAATAAAATAATTTTTAAACTCCATAGTCCTAATAAATAGTTCAAATGCCCGACAAAAAAAGATAACACTTTATGAAGTCGTCAAAAAACAAATGTTAGCGACTTACGACAGTTTTTACACACACAAAACCCTTTCAGAAAAAAATAAAAAAATAAAATAAAAAAATAAATAAATCTCCATAGACACTTAAGTAGACTAGACGATGTCATCTTTTGCTTTAAATTTAGACACCCCAACCTTACCATGACATCTGTGAATATAACTGAGATATTGATACAAAATATTAACACCTTATGCCCCTTTTCTTTAAACAATTGCTCTAGCCGTTACCATAGAAATTTCGATTTCAAAAATGAATATGCTTCTAAAACGCGTAAATTTTAGAAATAAGTTATTCCCCCAAAAATTTTGCTTGAAGATGGAACAGAGCTTAGTACTTTAATTCAATTTAATTCAAATAATTATATTGAAGTTTTCAGCTCTTGTTTTGAAACATGAGAACTCTTATGTAGAGTGTTGGAATCATATTTTAAATAAATAATTATATATATATATATATATATATATATATATATATATATATATATATATAACATAATAATATGCTCTATCAGTATATGATACTTAGTATTTGTATAATATATCAAATATACCTTAATATATTCTGTAATTACATAAAGTAAAATGTTATCACATCAACATATTATTACAATAACATTTAATATAATAAATATCGTTACATAATACTATATATGATAATTACACAACACTACAATATATTTTCAATATGATGATGCCACATCGCATTTGTAGATAATATATATGATAGTTTAGCATCCTGATACCACTTTTTTATCAATGTTGAATTTTATTCAGCTTCATACAGATTTTCAGGAAATATCAACTTCTAATTGGTCAATACACACAAGTGGGCATTGCAATCCATCCACGTTCAAATATTTTTCAAGCGCATGACCAAGTCAAGTTTTCCCGCCAATTTTCTCTAAGCCTGTCATGTGATTACATTAATTATAAATAGCAGACACACGCTTGCTGCTTTCTCTTTCTCTTTCTCTATCTTCTGTTCTCTTTTCCTGCAAAAATGTAGCCTTGAAGGATTTCTCGTCTCGACCATGGGTGGTCAGACGTTAAAAGCATTTTCACGCATGCACGTATGTACAAAAATTTTCCAAACTACATTGCAAACATACAGAACATTTCAAACAAGCAACAAGAACTTTTATCTTTGAAATAATCTTCAAAAGCTACAGTTTATTCAGCATTTCTCAGCTTTATAATTCATTCAACTTTTGTGAGTTCAGATAAAAATATTTCACAGTCAAAGGAACATAACACTAAAACTCTATGCATGTACATAATTTACACAAAAACAAATATAATGTTGTTTGTTATAAAACCTTTTGTTCCTTCTTGTACTTCATTTTTTGTGATATTTTACATTAAATATAAATCATGTAGTCATGTTATTCACACAGCCATAAACAGATATCCACAAATGGTCCATTCCTATTAACCCATTTTATAACAATAGCATGTAATATTATGATGTAATAATTTTATATAATGTTGCATAATAATAGTACTAAATAAAAAGTGAGAATTGTGGTGAGAAAGAGTGACGCTTACGACTACATTCCAGCGATGCTGAGACGACAGAGTCAAAAGAGTTGAATGTCAGGACGATTCGGTTTTCTTTAACAAGTTCTAACTGTACAAAATTATCATAATTATCATGCATGTAGAGCAAAAGGGCATTCATTTTAATGGTACGAAAACTCATGACAATTGTATCATTCAAGATAGACGGTTGGTTTGTTTTGTCATAGAATAAATATGACGTATTTGTTCCCGTGAACGTCACCATGTCTTCATCAATATCTGTAAAAAAGCAAAAGAAAGTTGTATGAAAGATTTTAACATTTTGTTGTTCCAATAAAAATAAGGATTTTTCAAAAATCTTTTTCATTATTAGTTTGAAATATTTTTACTTTCATTTTTATTAAGACTTTCTTATATTTTAAGATAAGCAACATGAACAGAAACTAAAATAGCCTTTGGAAAGATTTGAACTCACTTTCACAGAGCCCATATAATATGTATATTACCTACATCAATTTGACTATGAAGGCTTAACACAACAATCAAGTCATATGTGCAACCAAATTCTTTATCTAATTATTTATCTTATATTTTTATTTATTATTCTAATTAGTGTAGTAATACTGAATGTAAGGGTTTTCAAGTTGTCTGAATTTCTTGGATAAAATATTTTCAATTTTGATTAGTTTTTCTTTCCTCTTTTTGCTTTACTTTTGTTAATGACATTACAATATGTTACATTCTACAATCATTAAAATATATATTATTTATAAATAAAGAAGTAACTTCTGTCCCAGTATTAAAGTACATTCATTATCATTGGCAAGCTGCATGTTGGTGAGGACATCTGTTCCATTGTTAACAATGGCAAGTTACATCTTGTCAAATCAATTTCTTCTTTCTCACCTGTTCTCTGTTTTTCATACATTCTTTTTTGGTTACTATTTTTCAATTGTCTAAAGTTCTTGAAGCATTTACAGCATTAATTTTGATTAATTCATTTTGCAGAAATTCATACACAGATGTCCTCAAGGAAACATGGCACAGTGGATAAAGGCGTTGGTTAGATCCAGTGACAAGTTGTGAGTTCAATACCCGGTTAAGGCAGTAGAGATCTTGGAGAGGGGAATTAACAGGAGATAACTGATAACTGACATAATGGAACTAGAACAGTCTACCCCAGTGAGAGAAATAAAGGGTTCAGTTTGACATTCCAACCATCTGAAGAAGGCCGGAGCATACAACAGCCAAAACATTGTGATAAATATGGCGACAAATATGAGGACAATAGTCTGAATAATGTAAATAGTGTATATAATACCTCGTCTCAGTAATGTAGACAGATATCATTTTTGCTTTGTTTAGTAAACTGGTACAGTAAATTTCACTTCACAATCAAGAATAAAAGAAATTATCTCCTGATGGGCTTTTATCATTTTTAGTAAAGATGATTATGTTCTTGACAAATAAACTGAAATTTTGTTATATTTAAAAAGGTTTTATTCATTCCCTGAAAAATGTGACATTACTTTCTGAACAACTTAATTCAGGTTTTCCAAGTTATCCAAAAGTAAATTCTTCCTATGAAACTATTTTTTTAAGCTGAAATAGTATAAAGTAAAGCAGCAGTTGCTATTAATTTATAGAGCAAATGATTTTAAACATTCCCAGACCCATGATTGAAACTGAGATAGTTTTATTCTAAGTGCATGATCTTTAGAATTTCTCTGGACATTTTTGATACCTTGGGATATTATCTTGTGGACAGACACACAAATAAGTTGAGATAAATCATAAATTTTTATAGAAAGAGTTCAGAGCTACGGTGGCTTGCTACTGAGATGTTTGGTTGTAATTCCCAAGCAAAAGTAGAAGTACCATTCTTGATATTTCTATAAAAGTTCCTAATAAAACAAACTGAATAATATTTTCATTTTTTTGTTTTTTTCTTTCATGAAAGTAAGAATCCTCTTTGGGTCTCTCTTGGTTAGCAAAAACAGGTACTAATACAACAGGTACTAATTTTGTAAAAACAAAATGGGAGCAAGCAATCTGTACTGATGGATCTGATACAGCAAAAATTTGATCGATTTTGTCAGGCTTCTCTTGGAATCGAAGAAAGTTAGTACTTACTATTTTCACAATTATATCCAAGATGAGACCATTTATTGATGCATACACATTTATAGCTTCCCCACTGCTCAACACAAGTGCCTCCATTTTGACAGGGTTTTTCATGACAAGCTGCAAGGCAGCCAATATTGACACCTTCTGTCCTGAAATTCAGACAATAAATGATTCATGTTTATAAAATAAATATATATCAGAAGTATAAAATGGCAGAGAGTATGTGATAAAAAAAAAAACAGGTTGAATTAGCAGATGACAAAATGTCTTCTTCAGAATAATACTAGTTCACAGGATGCAGTAATAATATTTGGCTGCAGTAATAATAATTTTTAAAGTATCTAAAATATTGACAAATATGGTATAAATATAATGAGGCTTTTCAGATATTCTGGTTTTGGCCAAAGTTGTTCAAGTTTGAAGGATCTGTCCCTATGTATTGCCAGAGATATAAGCTATCAATTTTCAGCATTTTTTCTTTGTGTGTGATCTGAAATTTTCTTTGTATAATATGTAATCTATATGACTGATATCCACAACTGAATTCTTTGACAAAGAAGATTATAAATAGGAGATGTGCAAAATAAATGCTTTCTTCATCATCAATAAGTGTATACTTTCTGAGAATTTATATATATATATATATGGAGAAATGTAGTCTTAAGATGTGCTATATTTATGGGATAAGGTGCTCAATATCAGAGATAGAGCATGTGTAAATATAAAAGTGAACATAGAAGTCAACACTTAGAGGCGACAGTGTTTCATACTAGATGCAATCGTCAGGCCACGAGCTCATGGCCAGATGATTGCATCTAGCATGAAACAGACAATCGCCTCTAAGTGTTGACTTCTATGTTTACTTATATATATATATGCACACAAACACAGGGAAAAATAACTTCAAGAATAACAATAGAAAAACATGTTAACTTATTTCTTCTTACATAACAAATGAAACAAAGAAGATTATTCACACATAACAGAAACTAATCCTAACCCAAGTGCACAGGCTGAGATTTTAGCATTATATTCCATAACACAAACACAATGGGTGCAGTATAATGTGCCATAATGGCAGCTGGCTATGGCTTAGAGCACCTGTAAAGTAAAGTGAACAATGAATGATTTTATCAAAGTCTGAAGACCACCAATAAAGCTTAGAAGCTTAGATCTTTAAAGTGGCCATCAGCTGACAGAAGAGAAGTGAGTAAATAATTAAATGAAAACATTTGGGATCAAGTGCCACTCAACTAGACATTAAGAAGTTCCAGTTACAAGTTTGTATAAGCAGAGTCACAATTAGAATGGTCAGTTCGAACCACTTGTTAGCATGCCATGAGTCACATATAACCTTGTGGAAATAGGCAGATGGAGAAGAGGAGAGAGTTGGAGTCTTCATTGTCCAAAGGAAAATCTAGTCCATTAGTCTGTTTTGGGAGAAGACAGAAATAGCAGTAAAGTCTTTCTAAGTACCACCTACCTACCCCCAACCAGATTGTTCCAGAAGAATCTGTGAATAAATAGCCAAGTATACAGGAAACAGGATTCATGTTTTTATTTCTCATTATTTCACCTTTTGTTTCTGTGTGAATATACACTAGACCTTTCCCGGTTTTTGTTCACCCCAATGCAATAAAGCAACATTGGGGAGTGATTTCTCCAGTCAGTAAAAAGCTGAGAGAGTACCCTGGTTCTATATTTACAATAATATATGGATATATTTTTCTTCTTTTAGCTTTTGGCATTAATAGAAATCAATAAAGTATGGATTAAAAAATATTTTTATATTTGTAAAAGAGGAGAGGGTTGGGTATAATGAAAATAATTAATGTTCAGATATTTACTTGTAGAGACCAGGAAGAGAGAGTTCCACAAATTGATTGTTGTAGACTAAATCTCTCATGCAACCAACCAAACCAGGAACATCAGGCACTTCGGTCATACTGAAAATTAAAAAATTAAAACTGAATTAGATTTAAAGCAGAAAAGGTAATCATAATTTTAATTATAATTTTAATTATAATTTTTTCACTATTTTTGTATATAAAAATTTTGTAGAAAAGTTTTTTTACAAAAGTTTTATTATTTCATAAATTATTTGTACAAGTATCCTCATTTTTGTGGTCTTTATCTTTTCATGTTCTTCAGCTTTTGGGGGTGGATATCTGTTTGCATCTGGTAATCCATGCATATTGCTCAGAAGGACCCAAATCCAAGTATCAGAAATTTATCCTCTTGCACAAAATTCTCTGGCTAGCCTGAAAAATACCAACCATAAAATAAATAGCATGCAATCCTTTTTTTTGAATATATAAGCCCTTAGACACCATTATTTGATCCCATACTCAGTAGTGTGCAGAAGAGGGGGCAGAGGGTGTGATGGACTCAGAGCATCCATATTGGGAGGGCATCCAATCAAAAGAGTAAAATAAAAATTTTGTTTATATTTAATTTGAATAAAATGTTTATTTTATGTTTCATCTGTTTTTATTTAAAATGTTTTCCTTTCTCAGATTTCTCAGTACTAGGCTCTTGAGTCTTAGGGTTATACAATTAAGGAGTTGGCCCCGGGCATCACTAAACATCACCAAACCTCTACACATCATTGCCCACACTAATTTTGCTTCAACTTTCTTCTAATGAAGTGCTGAGATGAAAACAATAAAGACAAGTATATAGTTCTGAATTTGTGGTAAAAAAAAAAAAAAAAAAAAAAATAGTTGATCTAAAAACATTAAATAACACCAGAAAGGCTACACGGGGAGACCAACAACTATGCTAAAAATATATATTACAATGAGGGAAGAGCTAAAAAAGCATGCTGATTAAATGTCATAACTCACTCTTAGCAGTTACAATGTCTTGCTTAGGCTACACACTGTGATGTCATCAATTCTTTCTCCTTGAGTGACTTCAATGGACTTCTCCTGATTCACTTTGAGTTCTTTATTTAAGGCATCTTACCTAGTTCATTTGTGTTACCGGGGGGTGTCTTATTTACTCCACAACATCCTCCCTTTTGAGATTCTTCATTTTTTCACTAGTAAATATTGTTTTTTTTATTCACCCCACCTCCCATTTTCTGGCAAGTTTGCCACAAACTGAAGTTTGTATTTCTTTTGTTTTTCCGTATGTTTCCTTTTGCTGGTAATCATACTTGAACGTTCAGTGAATTCTTGGAGTGCTGATACATCAAAAATATCATACAGGGCTTGCAAAAGTTCTTCCTTTCTTGCAGACCTTTTTTCACTAAACCTTTTCTTTAAGTGATTTGTGTTCCCATTTTTTTTCCTTTGATCATATATTATCATTTTTCCAATTTGTGACCTTATGCCGTTTTCCTCACATTCCTTTTCTATTTTTATATACTCTGAAAAACACTTTTTTGCCAATTTCGAAAAATTTAGTGTTCTTTTTGCTATCAATTCTTATTCTTTTTTTTTCCTAATTTTTTGGACGATTGGTATTCCATCCTGAAATTTTAATTTAATAAGATGGTACCCATTGTTGTAATCTATTCCCTGTATGTGTAGAAATTCCTTTTTTGAATCATAAATTGATAATAGAGGTCAGTGGTCCGTCTGTACATGAAAACACCTTCCATGTATAAATTTGTGTCACTGCAAATATTATTGCTAACGCTCCTTTTTTGATCTGGTTGTATTTTTTTTCTGCCACTGGTAGTAAACACAAAGCATGTGCAAAGGCTTTCATGTTACTGTCATCATATTTATGTAGAATGACTGCTCCTATACTGTAGTCACTAGCATTTGAAGCAAATACAATTTTTGCTTTTGGATCATAGTGCACTAATGATAAGTCTGACATTAGTATTTTCTTGATTTTGCCAAACACCTTCTGACACTTATCAGTCCAGTTTCACCTGACATCTTTTTTTAAGCAAATTGTTCAGTGGGGTTGTCAAATTTTGCATATTAGTTATACAGATTTGATAATAGTTTGCTAGTCCCAGAAATGCTTGTAACTTAGTAACGTTTCTTGTTGGAGACATATTTTTAATATCACTTGCCCTCAATGGATCTAGTTGATCACCATTTTTGTCAATGATTTGTTCTAGGTACTTGATTTTAGGCAAAAACAATTCACACTTTTCCTCATTGAGTTTGAACCCATATTCTTGTATTTCTTCAAAAACTCTTCACATGCCCGATATGTTGTTCATTAGATACACTTTTAATTAATATATCATCTAGATAAGTAACTATAACATCACAATCTGCAAGCATCAATATCTTGTTGAAATATAGCTGGAGTCACTTTTATCCCAAAAGGAAGTTGGCTGAACTTATAAAATCCCTTGTACATATTTATAGGTTTAAGACATTTTTATGTTTATACATTCTTTTTATAGATACAAATATTTAAGTAAATGCTCTGTTTATAATAAACAGTATTAAACATTTACTGGCCTGAATGTCTGAGAAATTTTCATAGAAAATATTCATCCTCCGACAGGAATCAAACCTGTATCCTATATGGAACTGTCATTTAGCCTGACGTGCTCTTAACCAATCGAGCCACAGAGGATCGTTTGATTAGCAAGGTCGAATTTACTGCCTTTAGACTTCAATCTTTCTCTGTGGCTCGATCGGTTAAGAGCATGTCAGGTTAAATGATGGTTCCGAATAGGATACAGGTCCAATTCTTGTTGGATGATGAATATTTTCTATGAAAATTTCTTGGACATTCAGGCAGGTAAATGTTGTTTAATACTGTTTATTATAAACAATTCTTGTAAAAATTTATTATTCATCGAAAAATTTTTTCTTAAGACAATAGTGTTCTTAATATATCTTATTTATAAAAGTAAGTAAAAGCTTTTCTAATTAAATAATGTCATAGTTTTATTGCATTTTTTTATTTTATAATTTGTAACTGACTTTTGGTAAATGGTGTTTCTGTTTGACAATAACAAATTGATGAATTAAATTCTCCAAGGACTCCTGCTTTTAACTAATATAAATATGAAGAGGCTGAAATTTTAATTTCTCAAAATTTCATAAAATTAAGTGGGGGCAACAGATGTAAAAAAAAAACCCAAAAAAACAAAAACCCATTAAAAAACAGTCCGAGAAAGTTTTAAAAATGTCAAAAATAAAGAGAGAGAAAATGATTGTTATCTTACTTTGAAGGAACTCCACCAATATACATATATCCTGGGAAAGCCAAAAACTTTGGCAAGTTCTGGTGTTGAATATCTATGAGTTTTGTTTTTGAGCCAAAGGTTAGACGAATATTGTAATTATCCTGTTCCAATTTAACAATATGCCATTGACCATTGTCCACTCTTTGATCTGATTTAATTTTCATATTAATGTCATGACCATTAGCTGAAGCTTTGAACTTGATATCTTCACCTGTAAATGAATGAATAAAAGATTTTAAAGATGATAAATCACAAAGAAAAGAAGAATGTCTAAAGTTGTCTTATATTTAACAGTTTTATTAATAATTCTTTATAGATGATAAAGAGGAAAATTTAAGAGCTGTTTATAAAATTCCCTGTTCTTAAATACAGAGGTTAATATGCATTTAAAGTTTCTTAAATGTGTTCTGCTTTAATGAAACAGTGGTTTTAACAGATGAAATCAAAATTAAATTTAGTGTTTAAGAAACAAAGTAGACAAGCTTGAAGGAAACAATGTCATTTATTATCTTAGAAAAAGCATGAATCCATCACCAACTCCAAGCTATAGGTAAAACAGCAAAGCTTTAGCCTAGAGTGGCAACTAATCTAGAAGAAAGACAATTGTGAATTTATAACCAAATAATGAATCAAAATAACAGCCATATTACCCTTGACATCATGGAATTGAAGCTCTAAATTCAACAGGGAATCTGTTGGGAATGAAGTAATTATGAACATATTCTATTGACATTCTTCATTTCTAAGACTGAGCACATTTATCAAAGGAGAAAGTGACAAAAGTCTATTTCATGCTTGAATGCAGTCTTCAGGCCATACAACCAGGCAAGCCTGAAGATTGTGTTCACACATAAAATAGATTGTCACCACATGCTTTGACCTCAGTGTCCACTTTTATATATATATATATATATATATATATATATATATATATATATATGTCACTCCTCCTCCCCCAATACTAAGTATGATTGAAAGAGATATGAAATTAATCCCTCCCTAAACTCTACCATGTCTCTTTAACTACTCCTTTTACACTCTCTGTTAAATTACAAAAACTTACACTACCCATCAATTTTAATTTCATTTTTCATTTCATTTTTGGAAGTGTTATCTGATGATACGGTGTCCTTTAAAAGGGCTCTGGTGAAATAAATTATCATAATGGTACCTTAAAGTGGTCTGTTTTCCTTTAAAATATATATATATATATATAGTACAGGTAATCAATCCATTGGTATATAATCGAGTGAATTCTAGTAATAATAATTATTGAAACTGATCCACAGAGAGCTCAATGTTTTTATTTTAACAGAGCATATGTATTTTTTACAGCAAAAAAAAAAAAAAAAAAAAAATTACCTCAACATTGATATAGTCTATTTCAAGCCATTCTGTATTCTTTTATAAGAAACACTACATATTAGGAACTGCTATTAAACCACAAACAAGACCTGGTCATCCCCAGACCGCTTCACCCCAGGATAAGATACATTAAACAAACCCACTCTCATTAATAAGGCATCTATGAGAGGAGGACTGACACTGAAAATAAATTTAAGACAATGTTCCAAGACAGACACTTACAAACTGATGATAGCTGTATACAGACCGGCTTGAAATAGACTATATCTATATTGAGGTAATTTTTTTTTTGCTGTAAAATATATATATATATATATATATATATATATATATATATATATATATATTGGACTCTCCTGTCATTTACCGATGTATAAGGGTCAAGCAATTCAGTTCCTAGGAACCAACAGCCAGACACCTGCACATATGATTTGATTCTAGTGGTGAAGGCTTTGTGCAGAACAAACCACACTTTTTGGAAAAGCCAAATACAGAGATCTGGTGCAAGGTCACTAAATGACCCTCTGCAGGTTTTGAATTCAAAGTTTTCCTTCTTCTAGACCAGTTGCCTTTCAAGGTTATAGAATTCAGTCTGTCCTGCTGTTTACCCATAGCTGGTGGGGGGAGAAGAAGAGTATTCATACCTTTCCCAAGAGTATTAGCACGTAAGTAAATGTAATGGATCTGACTGAAATTCAAACTCGACTCTGATTCCTCAATCAGAGCCACTATCCATTACTCCACTGAGCCTCATATATATATATATATATATATATATATATATATTATTTAGAACCTATCAAAATGTTTTTATGAATAATAACTAAATAATATTCCATGGTTATAATTTATTACATTGTAATTGTAATTATGATCCAATTCATTAGACCTACAAATTCAAAAATTCAAAAGGCTCAAACACTAATATTCCATGGTTATAATTTATTACATTGTAATTGTAATTATGATCCAATTCATTAGACCTACATACAAAAATTCATTTTGAATTTGTAGGTTTGATGAATTGGATCATGATTATGATTAAAATGTAATAAATTATAATCATGGAATATTAGTGTTTGAGCCTTTTATATTATATTCTTACCCTGTCCTGGACACTGATTCTATCCTCTTGGAAATTTATATATATATATATATATATATATATATATATATATATATATTCATGGAAATATGGTTTTTGTGAACATATGGTGTTGTCAAGGGCAGCTTATATAAACAATTTGAAAGGTCATCGTAATAACTAGTAGCAAGCCAACCTGCCTCATTGTCCTGCCACGGAAACAGCCCGGCCTTCGGGCTGGGTTGCAACCATGGCAAAGTCTAGTTTGGACCATATCAGGACCTGCTAAGACAAGTCAAGACCAATTTGGACCAGAACTTGACTAAGCCTTGACCAGCTTGGACATGTTATGACCAATCTTTGACCAGTGACCCTATGCGGAAACGCTTGGGTTTTCCCACGAAAAACGACCTTGTGTCACATCTTGACCTCGTGGGAGTCAAGTAAATACCACCTTATTGTCCTGCCAACAATACTGGTGTTATTTACAAGGTTTTGTAGATCCTGATCTGATCTCAACTGAGGAGGGACATGATGAGAGTTGTTGACCATGCAGATCCAATCAACCCAATCAAGGATACAGAGTTTATTTGTCATATATGTGCCTGTTACCTATGAAATTGAATGCTAATTTCAATTAGTCATCTTAGGGGTACTGAAACATGATAGAAGCCATTAAAATTGATGCAAGAGGTGAGGAAGTGGCCCTTTTCTGGGTAAGATGTGGTAATCAGCATATATTTTTATATATATGTGTGTGTAGGCGGGGGAAGAGCTGTTGAAAAGTTCTTTACCTACTTTCAAAAATCTTATCAAACATCAGGGTTTTTTTTTGGAAAAGATTTTCAGTCCAAGTGTTAATTTTTTAGTGCCTTATTGCATATAAAAAATTATCTCTCCTGTAAACATGTGACCTCTCCCAACTGAAATTTTAAATTGTAATCTTTATTTTAACTGTTGCATTTATTAGATTATTGAGTCTTTCAGGAATTAATGGATTTTATTTTTAATCCAACCTTATTTCTTATTACTCTAAACATTGTTTTTATTGGATACAAGTGATTGAGAAGATGCTCTGTGCACGGTGATAGACATTATTCACACTGTTTAGAAAAAAAACAGGATATCTACTCAAACAAGTGTATCCATTGAATTATCCAAGTTGAACAGGATCATTTCTATATTCACCAGACATAGAACTTTTGAATTAGAATTTACATGTAAGTTCTTTGCTGAGAAAGATAAAAAAAATTCTTGGAGGATAGAATTATGAAGTTGACTGAAAGATAAAAGACAGAACAAAATGATAAATAATGTTGCTCACTAATGACGATTGCTTTTTTTTTGACAATCCAAATAAACATTTTTATCCATTCGATATTTACTAAATTTAGTAAGTTTACATAAGTTCAAACATACATTTTCTACATACAACATGTGAAAGCATGTGCAATGCCATGACCTCATCAACCGCCAACCATGGGAGGTATCACAGTTTCAGTGCCTAAGGCGGTACTGCCACCCCTGGCGCCACTAACAGCTTTTGTCATTGGACAGGGTATTGTTTTTTGTGTAGACATGTCAGTCTTTTGGAAGTTTTTTTTTTTCAACTGCAAGTCAGATTTTCAACATTAAATTTGATTAAAAAGTGATAATAAAAAATGTTAAAAAATTTTTTTACTGACCATTTTCCATGTGGATAGTGATGTAGTTTCCTTTGTCATCCGCTTGATGGATAAGAAGTACTTTATCTTTAAAGGTACGGAATGAGAAGATAAGGTCCTTGTGTGTCCAAGAAGGGGCTTGAATATAAGACTCAGGAGATTTGAATGTCATAGCTTTTTGCTGATCATGAAATTCTGAAATAATACACAAAATTAATGAATCTTTCTTGCAGACGCAACCAAGAGAAATTAACAAAAACTGAAGAAATAAAAATATTTTCTTAATGGTCTTCTATGTGTTCCTTCAGGATACTGACAATTTCCTGTCCTTTGTAGCTCTTAAAAAATGTTGACTTTTCATTATCTCTTCTAAACTGTGTTCCACTATCAATTTACTCAAGCTTGCTAGGTAGTTACACGTTCTTTTCCTGTGTCCTGCTGGCCATCAAATTTTCTAAGCCCTCTTTCCTCATTATGTGCTCTAGAAATTGTTTTCCTGTCTCTCTTGCCTTTAATCTCTCCTGTGAGTATCAGATTTTCCAAGCCCTCTTTCCTCATTATGTGCCCTAGAAATTTCAACTGCCTCTTTCTGGTGTTAAGCATAAGTTTCCTTCTTGTTTCTATAAAACTTTGTTGTTGCTCACATATTTGGTCCATTGTATACTCAGCATCCTTCTGTAGAACCAGATTTTTGTTGCATCAAGTTTCTTTTTCATATGCGAGGAGATTGTCCAGCATTCACTGCCATATAGGAGGACTGATATTACATAACAGTTCAGTACTCTTTTATTTGTTTCTAACAAAATTTTTATGTTTCTTAATACTTTGCTTAGCTTTTGGAAGGCATCTTTTTGTATCCCAGTGTACATTTGAATATCTGTGTCACACTTTCTGTTCTCCATTCAGAACCTAAATATAGCTTGCAAAAAAACAGATACTTTGATTCCTCTGATGCAGCCAGCTTTTTGATCAACTCTCACGAGAGAGGAGTGTTGATCAGAGTTGATAAAAAATTTGACCGAGTAAGACGAATTATACAATGTGTTCTTTTTCATAATTAATTTCAACATGTCTCTGCATAAAATATGAAAGAAATTACACTTTGAATTTAACCAAATCTCAATAAAGTTGAACTTATTACAACTGCAGACTTTATTTAACTGATCATTTTAACATTCAGAAAAAGTATAATTTTTTATTATTTACATTCAAACTCATCTTTGCTGTTATTATAATATTGTGGCTGTTCGACTCTCCAGCTTTCTTCAGACATTTGTCAATCTGGTAACCTTTAGGGAATTTTATAAACTGAATCCTTTATTTAATATAGCAGGGTTCATATTTAGGGATATCATATCTTTTGCTCATCTTTTGCCAAAGTGTTTAAGTTTGCTGTGCACAATGTGTTCTTTATTTATGTTTTTTTTTCTTATTTATTAATCTTATTCTAAAAATTTAAATGTCTAAAAATTCATATTAATTATTATTGTTGATTTCCCAAGATGGGGGAATGATTGCAAAAGTTCCCCCCCTCCCCTTCTTATAGTCAGTAGAACACAAAATGCATACTGGGATATTTTTCTTAGCCAATAAAATGGGGAGGTTTGCATTTTGGCATGACTCTATCCAGATCTACCTTAACTACTAAACAGACATACTGTGTTTGTTTGGTCGACTTTGCTTTTATGTACAAACACCAAGTCCTAGTTTGTGAATTCTTTTGCATTTTTATCAATTTTGATTTGCTTTAATTATATTGTTTGCTTGCTTGCATGATTGTTGCTGCTTCGTCTTTTTTGATTTTTTTCTTTTCATTGCAAACTTTATTAATTCTGATCATGTTATTTATCTTGCACTTTAACAATGGCTTCTAATTCATCAGGTTAGGGGCCCAAGAATAGGCTCTGTTTTAATGGTGATAAATTGAAATATGAGCTATGGGAAGTAAAGTTTTTGGGTTATATGCAGATCCAAAAATTACATGAAATAATTTTGGCCCTTTTGATCATCCCAATGACGAAGATTACCATGAAAAGAATGCAAACATGTTTTGTGAATTAAATTCAATTTCTCAATGATCAAAGTTTATCTCTTATTATGAGAGAAGCCTTTGATGATGGGAGAAAAGCACTGCAAATTTTGAGAGAGCACTATCAAAAGGAAAGCCAAAACTAATTTCCCTGTATACAGAATTAACATCTCTATGTAAAGCCAGCACTGAAACTATTATGGATTATATTATTTGAACTGAAAAATCAGCCACTTTAAAGATTTCTGGGAAAATTATTGGTGATGGTTTATTAATCATCATGGTCTTGAAAGGCCTTTTATCTGATTTCAAGCCATTTACAATTGTTATTACTAAGAAAAACAAGCTACTAACATTTAGTGAATATAAAGTAGCATTGCAAAGCTTTGAAGAAACTGAGAAAATGATTCATGATGATACATTGAGTCAATTGCTTCGTCCACCGCAAAGAAAGTTGGCTCCCTGTGCCGCGCCAGGAAATTTTTCTCCTCGGAATTGATCCTCCAGATCTACAAATCAACAATTCGCCCTTGCATGGAGTATTGCTGCCATATATGGTCTGGAGCCCCTTCTGTTTGCCTTGGGGTTCTTGATAGGCTCCAGAGGCAGATATGCAATATAATTGACCCTGTTCTGGCATCTCAGCTACAGTCACTCTCACAGATGCGCCGTCACCTCTCTCTGTCTTTTTTACAAATACTTTCATGGCAATTGCTCCGAGGAGCTGCATTCAAGCGCCCTACGAGGCTGGCATCCCACTCTCACCCTTTCACTGTCGAAACTCCTAAATGTAGCCGTCTCTTCTACTCCAATAGCTTCATGTCTCACACCTCTCGCCTGTGGAACTCCCTTCCCTATTCCAGTTTCCCTGAGAGCTATAATCTCCAACTATTCAAATGTAATGTCAATCGATATCTCCAGTTGTCTTGATCTATCTACTATCCTTCTCCTCATCCTTTCCTCTATCACTCCAATCTGATCTTGCTTCAAATCTTCTGTAACCCCTTGCGTCCTAGTGGCTTCTCGCCTTGCATGGGGTGAAATGCTTAAAAAAAAAAAAAATAATAATAGTGAGATAACATAATGTCACTTCAAATGCTAAAACCCAAAACACAAACTAACTGAATGCAGAAGCAAAAAGCAAACCCATTTCATAAAATATGTGGAACGTTTCAGATAATGAATATTCATTTATGTTTTCAGTTGGACTAGTCGCAATTTCCAACAAAAATGGCCTACTTGTCGATTGTGGTGCTACCAATCTAAATTTCTTACTTTCGATAAAGATTTTAATCCAGAAAATCATCATATCAAACTGACAGATGGTAGTTGAACCAGTAATATTGCTTCAAAAAGACATAATGCTCAAATCACTATAACTGATATGGATGGAATTATGCATGACTGCATTTTAACAAATACTCTATACATTCTTACATTCAAACAAAATATATTCTTGGTACAGGCTGCTACCAAAAAAGGAGCTTCTGTGAAATTTGGCTGGAATTAATTGGAACTTATCTACCCTAACGATGTTAAATTCAACATAAAAAGAAATGGACAGTTATACTATTTAAACACTGCAGTAACCTACAAAACTGCTATGTGCAGCCTAAAACAATGGCATCAAATTCTTGGACATTACAATCTGAAAGACATACAACAACAAGAAGTCTTGGAAGGCATGAAAATTGTCGATAAATTAGATACAAACTATGAAATTTGTATCCAAGGCAAAATGTTACAATATAAAAACAAGTTACCTGATAAAAGGGTGACTAAAATATTAGATCTTGTTCATTGTGATCTCGCTGACCCAATTGAATCAAGATCTTTAAATAGCTTTAAGTATACATTTTGTTTTGTGGGCAATTATTCTGTCTAATTGTGGTATATTTTCTGAAGCAAAAAAAGTGACATTTATCAAGAGAACATCTGACTGACATCAACTTGTATGGCTCTGTAAAATGTTTAAGAAGTCATAATGACATGGATTTCACTTCTAAAATTAAACTTCTTTAATTTTACTGTTAATTAAAAGATTTTCAAAGTTTTTAGACGTGAATTCCATGCTGGTATCACTTCTAAAAACTTTGAAAATCCTTTAATTAACAATAAAATTAAACATGAGAAATCTACTCAATATTCCCCACATCAAAACGGTACGTCTGAAAGATGTTGGCGTTCTTTATTCAAAATGTGTAGATTTCTATTAATAGAATCAAAGCTACCAAAGTTTTTGTGGTTATATGCTGTTATGACTGCTGAGTGCTGCCTATGTTAGAAATCAGTGTCCATGTTGACTAAATAAAGGGTTCAGTTCAAAATTCCAGTGTATATCACCTGAGGAAGGCTGAAGCGTAAACATTGTGAATATGGCAATAAAAATGAGGATAACAGTCTGAATGATACAGTATCACATCTCAGAAATATAGACAGACAGCCAAAATATGTTAATTAAAAACAACAAAGATGAAGGTTAAATTAATATACAGAATAATAATAATAATAATATCTCATCTTAGAAATTCAGAAAAGATTTATACAAGTTTTGAGATGTAAAGAAACCTTTCTTTCCAAAAATATGTTTATACCACAAATGACATTTACAAAACAAATATTATTTGGGATCATTTTTCAAGATTTGGACATACATTGGTTATTGTAAAAGCAAAAAACTTGTTTACTTTTTATGTTTTTTTTTTTCAGAATGACATGCAAACATCTTTTTATTGTAATAACAGATAAATGAATAAAAAAAAGTTGTTCTTACTGTTTCCCCAGCATTTGAGTGGCCCAAGGTTAATTTTGCCAATCCCATCAGGAATGTGGTCATACCTTTCAGCATAAATCTCTGTCACTGGTAATTGGTCTGTGTCCGTGTTGTAACCAAAATCCATCTGCCAAAATCCAGTCTCTGTATACAAGAAGAAATATTTATGAATTCTGTATTTATAACCCAGTCAAAAAGGATTTCACATTTTTATCAAGCTGTCAAGCACTTCTTTTAGCTTTCACATAGAACAATTTACAATGATTTTAAGAGCAAATAGGGAGAAATTTAAGTATCTGCAAAGTGTTTTAACAGATAATAGAAAATATGATAATGAAATCTGTAAATGTATTGGAATAACAAAATATGTCTTCCAAAAGTTAAACAAAGTATTAGAATCAAAGAAAAGACTGTTGAACTGCCAATATCAATCTTTCAGTAAATGCTGAACAATTTCATCACAGATGAAGAGAAGACTTAAGGCAACCAAGATATGGTTCTACAGAAGGCTGTTGAGAATAACATAGACAGAATATGTGAGCAATGAGGAAGTTTTACGGGAAATGGGAACAAAATGACACTTGTATTTAAAATTGGAAAGAGTAACTTCACACTAACAGATTCTTTTCTCACACTTCTCACCTGTGGAACTCCCTTCTGTTTACTTGCTTCTCTGATTACAATCTTCAAAAATTTAAATGCAACATCAATTGTCATCTTCTGTCTCCTTGAACCCCATTAATCTTTTGTCCTTTCCCCAATCCTTCCTATACTCACGCTTCTCTTTCACTCCCTATAACCCCTGCGTACTAGTGACATTCTTGCCTTGCTTGGGGTGAAATGATTAAAAAAAAATAGTTGAAATTTTAGTGACACATGATAAGAATAGCAAGCTTGAGAAATCTGATATTCACAGAACATATTGAAGGTGAGACATTATTAAAAGCTTGTGTAAATGAATGGCAGAACAAACAATAGGAAGCATAGTAAAAAGACAAACATTGCTAAGAGTGAGGAAGAGAGGAAGTTTTAGAAAGCCATGATTGGCCAGAAAGAACACAGTTCATAAAAGGAAAAACAAACTGGAACCAGATGTTACCAAATATCTTAGCTGCTCATTTTGATTTTGATAGGCTTTGAAGAGCCTGAAAACTCTTCTAAACTGTAATCAGATCAAGAATTCTTCACAGTTACCATGTAACTTAGTACTACTAGTTTCATGGTAGATAGAGAGGAGATGAGCATTAGCAAAAACTCCTCCTTCATAGAGATGTACTAGAAGGTCTCATACCCAGATGATATCCTAGATCTGCAGTCAATTCAAGAATTCTTCATTGATACTAATATCATGTAACAAGTCCCATATGTCCTGTGAGGGTCATAGGGGCATCATGCATAGTTCAGCCATAGCAGCAGTGAAGCATCTTGGGCAAGATAACCTGATGGAGTCCATCCCTCTTCAAACTGGTTTTGAATTCATTTTCCTTCTCTGAGATGGGTTACCACCCCAAGACAAGAGAGCCTGATCAACCTTACTGTTTAACCCATAGCTGGGAAGAGAAAAGGTGGATTCATACTTTTCTCAAGGGTATTTGTATGAAAGCTTAGACAAATTTTTCTTTCTGATTCACTAACCATTACACTATTCCTAAATCGTAACATGTAACCAAGTACTATCAACTTTTATATTAAGAGCAGATGGGCATTGGCCAGCAAAATCCTTTTGATTTAGTAGGAAAGACTTAGCATGGCATTATGATTATCTCTGACCTTGTAAATTTGCAGAAAATATCTGACCTTCTAAATTTACAGAAAAATATCTGACCTTCTAAATTTGCAGAAAAATATCTGACCTTCTAAATTTGCAGAAAAATATCTGACCTTCTAAATTTACAGAAAATGTGCATCTATAAAGATCTGCAGATGAGAAAAAAAATCTAAGATATTTGATACCAACAAATCTTTCATTCTGAAGTCCCAAGTCAACCATCAAAATTTGGCTTTTATTTTAACTGTTTCCAATTTAACTATATAATTATTCTTAGAAATTTAATGAAATCCAAATTCATTAACCTTGTCTGTCAATGAATTTTGAAAAAAAAAACAATATAACTGAAAAATTTGATTCTGAATTTAACAAACAAAAATTATGCTATGATTTGTTCACATTTGAATGTTTATTCATGTTATTATTGGAACATTGAAAGTGATAGTAATTTCCATTGTCTATTTACAGTTATAACTGCATATAAAACAAATAAAATGAAATGGAACAAACACAGCCTGAGATCTATGAATTCCAGTTCTCCCAACTGATGCTCAAAATGAAAAAATATGAGACTCCATAAAACCCAGAACAGATACATTTTCTTGTGAAGTGTTTAAAATATAACATGAGTGATATAATGAATTTTATAATGTCTATTTTTAGTCTTTCTTCTGTACAATTGATTATTATATAATATCTAACATTTAAACAATTCTTTTAAGAACAATAATAAAAAATAATTGTAATATTTGATGATGTCCTATTTATTTGAACATCCAGTAGAAAAAAAGTTCATTGTTTCTGGTACCAAACTATATGGGTAATTCCGTAGTGGTTCTATAGTTGTCATAAGTGAAGAGTTCAGCTGAGAGAGATTAACTAGAGTTTTAACCAGTTGCAGGTTTACACTCATCAAGGTGAGCTATTAGTTGTATACGCAGAGCAATGATGATATGGCATCTATGGGTGTTTCCTAAATTGAAGTCATCAACCAGGGTGAAGGCTTTTCCTGATGGAATTAACAGGCATGTGTTGATGATAAAAATCAGAGGACAAAGGTCATGGTTTGACCTGGAGAGAGATGGGCAATGCATACAAAGGGTGTTGATCAGCTGTGAAGTAACTCTAAAACCCTAACCCAATCATAGGACTGTTGACGATAATCCTAATTCTGATCATGGACTAAGAGAGTTTCAAAGAACAGCGTCCAAATTCCATGCTGAAATTTGTTTATAAACATTTAGATAAAAAATTGCTAGATTCCATATTTATTCCTTAAATATTTTCCCTACCATCAGAAATAATTTTTAAAACTTCCTTGTTGTTTACATGTTCAGTCCATGTTATTCCCAGCATCCTTCTGTAGAAGTACATTTCTCTTGCTTCAAGTCTCTTCTTCATCTTTAAGGAGATTATCCAGCATTCGCTACCATATTACATAACATCTGATCCCTCTTGCAATGAAAATTTCTTGTTTCTTAAAACTTTTGTTCAACTTTTGGAAATCTTATTTTCTTAATGACTTTAAAATAAATTAAGATGTGTAAATATAAACTAAATCAAAACTTTATAATTATTTACATGAGATTTGATTTGGAATACAAGTTTTCAATTCTTTGATAACCACATATTATTTCCAAATTAAAACAATTAACCATTCCACAGAGATGTGCAATGTCCTATATTATCCATTTAAAATCAATGATTATTGGTTTTGATTGCTTTTTAAAAGTTTTTTTAAGCATTTCACCCCAAGCAAGGTGGGAAGCCACTAGCACACAAGGGGTTAAAGAGAGTTGGAGTGAGAGCAAAGAGAAGTGATAAAGGAAAGGATGAAGAGAAGGATAGGGGATAGATTAGGGCATCTGGAGACGTCGATTGGCATTACATTTGAATAGTTGGAGATCATAGCTATCAAGGAAACAGGAAAAGGGGAGGGAGTTCCACAGGCGAGAAGTGTGAGACATGAAACTATTGGAGTAGAAGAGACGGCTACATTTAACAGTTTTGACAGTGAAAGGGTGAGAGCGATATGCCAGCCTAGTTGAACGCTTAAATTCATGAAGTCTGGGAACAGTTACCATGAAAGTATTTGTAAAAAAGACAAAGGGAGGCAACGGCATGTCTGTGAGAGAGTGACTGCAGATGAGATGCCAAATCAGGGTCAATTACATTGCATATCCATCTCTGGATTTTATCAAGAATCTTGAGATAAACAAAAGGGGCTCCAGACCATATACGGCAGCAATACTCCATGCAAGGGTGAATGGTTGATTTGTAGATTTGAAGGATCGACTCCGGCAAGAAAAATTTCCTGGTGTGGCACAGGAAGCCAGCTTTCCTTGTGGTGGACAAATCTATTGACTCAATGTATTTGTTCCCTCTCAGGTCAGCAGTCAATGTGAGACTGAGCAATTGCAAAGAGGTGCTCTCGTGGAGTTGAGCATCAGGGATGGTTCTACTGTGAAATGGTTGTTATTGATCTGAAACTGATTGATACAAGCAGTTGGGAGAATTTTTTTAAACGCATTAAAAGATACTTACGTGCATCACAATTGCATTTATATTTATTATAACAGGAATCAGTCGAAGAACAAGGACAGGTACCAATATTTGGATTGCCAATTGATTTAACGATTCTTTCATTGGCTGCTTTAAACCAAAGTTTTTTACCAAGCCTGAAAATAAAAAATAAAAATTTTGTATATACACATTATTACTAATAATTATATAATTTTTTTTATTCTATTGTAATTATTATTATATTTAACTATATAAGCATGACCAACCCCAAAGACCCCTGTCGGTGGAACAATCGGATGATGATTACAACAGATCTCAATGTCTGAATCAACAGATGAAGAGGGCTACATCTGATGGACATGCTGCAGAATGTCTCATTCTATATATACTGCAGAGAAAGACCATGAAATCAAGTGTTTGGGTCACAAGTTGAGTTACACTTTAAATGAATTCATGCCATTGGCACTTTCTTCTACTCTGATTTTTTTTCACCTTCAACCAACTCTTGCAAAGACAAACAGTGATCGAGAATGGAGGAAGGGAGCAAGTTTTGGTGAAAGTGGAATCATCTAGACCTGAATTTAGTCATCAATTCCATCATCATAAAGGAAGCGATTAGCAAGGAAGAAATTAAATTCTTGGAAATGAGGTAAAGACGTTGATATAATTTTGTATTCTGTTATATACTATTGCAAATAATTTGTCTCATCATCATTATATATATATATATATATATATATATATATATATATATATATATATATATATGTGAAGAAATATAGTCTTAAGGTGTGCTATATTTATGGGATAAAGTGCTCAATATCAGAGATAGAGCGTTTGTAAATATAAAAGTGAACATAAAGTCAACACTTAGGGTGACAGTCTGTTTCATGCTATATGCAATCATCAGGCCTGATGATTGCATATAGCATGAAACAGACTGTCGCCTCTAAGTGTTGACTTCTATGTTCACTTTTATATTTATATATATATATATATATAAGCTGTCTGCATGCAATCTGTAGAGTTAACCTTCAAGATAGGACATCTAATGTAGACCTGTTTAACAGGGGTAATATTGGAGGAATCGAGACTTTTCTCATACAATCTCAGTCACGGTGGACTGGTCATGTCTTGAGAATGTCTGATGACAGGATACCCAAGATCCTAATGTACAGCCAGTTAGATCAGGGCTGCAGAAATGTAGGATGCCCATGGCTAAGATACAAAGACAAGCTGAAAGGCAACTTGTCAGCTGTCAATATACCTCATAACACTCTCGAGTGCCTTGGAGTGGGTAGAATGGAGATCAGCATGTTTTAGTGGACTCAGCAGTTTTCAAACTGCTTGTCTGAATCATCTTCAAGAAGCAAGAGCAAGATTTAAAAGGTCAGCCAATCTAAAAGTGATTTTATCCCACAATCCTTGCTCTACATGTGGCCTCCTTTGTAAATCACTAACAGGTCTTAAGTGCCACCTAAGATTATCGCACAAAATTTCATAACTGAATCAATTAAGTTGCCAGATCCTCATATGTCGAAACTGATGTGAGAGAGTCCATTATTATTATATGTGTGTGTGTGTGTATGTGTGTGTGTGTGAGTGGGTGAGAGAGGAGATGAGACAAAGTGGAAAAGCTGTTAAATGATACATTTTGCCAATGTGTCATGTGTTGGGTCCAGTTTCTTCAGGTCGGATACATTTTCATCTGATGAAGCTGAAGCCAACCCCCAACTTCAAGTTTGTGACTGAGAAAACTTCCTGTGACATTGACAAATTGTGATTTTCTATTGTATATTTTCTCATCTATAATGACATAAAATTATGTAAATTTATTCATGTTTTATAAACCAGTAAAGGGAATAGCTACAAAATTCTTCTTCATTCATTCCTGCATCTGTAGGTTACATAAAAACTATCTCACTTGTTGGCTATAGTGGCATGTGTGGGTTTGCTTGATTCATCTGTAGCAATAGAAATAATGAACAGGCTGCAACTGGAAGTTCCAGAACACACAAAAACACTGACCAAACCCTATTTTGCCAATTTCCCATTTCAGCGGCCTCTACCTTCATGGCCGGATCTTTTCCACTTTTCTTTTACAGCGACTGCAACCTTCAAACCTAGCTCAAATGGCTAGTCAACCTGCAGAAAATATGTGGCCCTGTCCTGACAGCCTGACTTCAGATTTCTCATGGAAACAAATGGAGAAATTTTCCTTCGTGCACACACACACACACAAGCAGGAAAAATTCCCACAGTTATGCTATCATTGTATCCTCTAATCTAGAAAATAATAAACATCATATTCTGATCATAATTTATTAAATATTATTAAATTTTGATAATCTTTGCTATTTTTCTAGTTTTGTGTTTCTTTCATTCCTACCTTTGTATAATCTTCCACTGCTAGACAGGATAGTAAAATATCCAGAGAAATTTATTTAAATTATAATAATCTATAATAGTCTTGGATTTTTAATATTATTCTTTACTTTGCTCTTCTTTGCACATATGAATATAGATAGCTTAGTAAGGTAAATATAGATCTAAAATTTTCACAGTATAATGTTTGATCTTTCAAAGTAAAAAAGGACTGGAAAACAAAATATAACTAAAAGCCTTTAGTTATTTTGCAAAATAAACTGGTTTACTGACATTGTGATTGGTACCTACCGTATAGGAATTTTGAGACATTGGTATTCAATCAACTGTTCACAAAAGGCAGACTGGGATGTCAATAATTGCAGATGTTCTTTGCTCATCTCTCTTACAAAGGGACAAAAATTGAAAAATTTTATCAGGAATTATTTTAAACAAATCAATAAACATAAAACAGTCAACATATATAGCACATATAAAAAGCAATATATATCTATCTAATGTGTGGGTGTAACATTTTTAATGTCACTGTAGATTCCAATACATAGAGATAGGCAACTTATTAATTTCTATATAGTAAACTCTTTTGGTAATAAAGTAGAAATAAACTGTTGTTATATTAAAATAAGCCTTCATAATTATTTAGTGGTGAATAGGAAGCTCTTTGTTTAATTTAATGTCATTGAAGTGTAAAGATACAAACAGCAGTTCTTTCCCTTTTTTTGAGATAGTCACAAGGGTGATGGCCAGTGAATGACATCAGGGGGTAGAGTGACAAAGGGCAGTTGCAATGTAGAGTCCAGAGAGGGAGGAAACACAGTGGTAGACCTTACGGTAAAAAAAAAGCATAGCATAACTAGGTTCATAGAGAAACCACTTACATTACAAGTAACGTTCCCTTTTTTTCTTTTTTGTTTCTTTAACACACTGTTGCTGCATATATGTCATAATTTCTCTGTGTGGGACATGTGTATATGTATATATCTAACTTTGAGTACAACATAGCATTAGAAAATTCTCTCTGAAAACTAAGCATGTTTATCATTCTTTTTCCATTCAGTTATTCCGTTATGCCCATGAAGTATGGTGTTATTATATAATGGATATAATAATGCCCATAATGGGAGAAATTAAAATAGGAGAACAAATCTTTCTTCCATAGCAACCTCCTGTTATAGAAGTATTAGACATAAAATACAGAACAATATAAAGTTGTGATATTTTACAAGTACACTGCAACTGCCAAACTGCAATAATTTTTTTGACAGTACAAGTAAAAAATGATTTAATAATAAATTTCAGAAAAAATATGTGGAAAACATGAAGAAAAAAATGTAACATTTTATTACTTGATAAAAAATATATCACGTTTTACTCAGGGAATATGAATATCATGCCTAAATCAAATGTAGTACAGACTTTTACTGCTTCCCTTTTGAGCAGTAGTACACAAAAGAGTTCAGAAAAGGAGATAATTCTACAGTCAACAGACTTTATAGTGATCCTTTTTTTTAATAAACTGTATTGGCAATAAATAGAGACAAAGATGAAAATTTAAGAATCAGTATTTATTCAATATATAATTCATTTTGCCTTTACAACAGCCAAGCTATTTCATGAGATCAAAGACCAAATAATACACATGGATTTCGTATTCCAGCGGAACCAGTGGCCAGTGTTCAAGTCTACGATGATAAAATTCTCCCACTACATTAAAAATTTAAGAAAAGAAAAAACTAAATGTTACATGGCTGGATAATTTCCAGATAAACCTTGTAAAGACATAAATTTTTACCATCGTTTTACCATCATTGACTGTTTTATATGTTTAGTTCGGACTAATTTCTTAATTTTTTATCACACTCAACTGCTATGATTTTCTTAATTAAGAATGGTAATTTCTTCCTTTTGGTAAGAACAATTCTTTGTAACAATCTGCAAATGAATTATATTTATTAGTAATAGCAAGATGCAAAATGACAATGTTTAAAAATTATCTCCCTTACATCTAAATGTTCTAAGTTATGTCCCTTGAGTTCACATTTAATAAAATAATCAGGATTTTGTTTTTAAGTATAATTCATTCTTTGTTAAGCAATACAATTCCAAAGATATAAAATATAAGCAGACTTACACTAATATTGTCGGATTCGTGAAAGATCTAATCATTCTATTTAATCTGATGCTAATAAGTAGAGACTAAAATCAATTTGGTCATGTGGCTGAGAGTCATATATAAGGAAAAAGCCAGAGTATTGGCTTATTCTTTACTTTTCTTTTCATACATGAGGTTGAATCAATACATATGTAGTTTGTTAAACTTATTAGTTGATTCTTGATCTGAAATTTTCACTTTATATTTTTTTTTTGCCTTCCAACACTGGCATTACATGGCTCTTCATAATGATTGAGAGTTGAAAGTCCTTTGAACAAAACAATACAACAAACATGAACTTTGGACAATTTATCCACAATTTTATTCACAATATTCAATACCTTATCTGAATATTGGAAAAATACAATAAAAAATTAAACAGACCGACTGTTAATTGTATTTAATCCATCTTGGTTAGGGATTTTTATACTAACATATTAAATATTTTTGATGATAGGAAATAAATAATGATAAAGTACAAAAATTTGACACGTTTGACCTGAAATGGTTTTAGTAAATTCTGACTCTCAATTTATATGTTACTCATTGAAAATCAGGAAAAAAAGGGATTGTCAGTGGTCAGGAATTAAGAAAAGCATTATAAGCACTATTATATATATATATATATATATATATATATTTGACAGGAATCATTCATCCAAACAAGTTTGAGTAAATATATATATATATATATATAAAGTATGTGGTGCAGTTCAATTTACATTACATGAATCATTCATACAAAAAGCAGATATAGAAGTTAATGATATAAATGGCGAAATACATTTTCGCAAACAAATTTAATAAAGTACATTAATCTCGAACCTGTAGATGAATGTTATGATCCCTGTTTATAAATTCCATTTGCATAAGGTCTTTTTTTATTTTTTTTACAAGCTTTCATCTACAGGTTCGAGGTTAATGTACTTTATTAAATTTGTTTGCGAAGATGTATTCTCGCCATTTATATCATTAACTTCTATATCTGTTTTTTGTATGAATGATTCATGTAATATATATATATATATATATATATAAAATGATAAATTATAATCCTAAAATATCTTACCGGTATTCAATAATAACTCGGAGATCAGGGAAGTTTTTAGATTGGACGGTTGTATTTGGTATCAAGTTGTGTGTGACAATAGTTTGCCCATATATTTCTCCCTCTCCAAAGCCACCAACATAACTCATTTCACAGTTAACATACGTAGGAGGGAGAGGACCATTGCCATCCAAATCAGCACGATAAACACCTGACTGACGCTCACCAGCAAGGTAGTAATCATTACAATCACGACGGTATTTGGCTGAAAAGGAGAAAATAAAAGATCAATAATTTTAAAATTAAATTGGCCAACATTATTTTTGATATTTTAAACCATCGGCTTGACCCATCTGCAGGTAAGTTTTGTTGGATTGAAATCACTTTAAAATGGACAGCGATCAGATTAATGGTTTAATTCACTCAAGAAAAGTATTTACTAGTTGAAAAAAAAAAAGAAATTGGTATAGGTTTTCCTTGCTAGAAAGTAGAAAGTTTCTATGAAAATTTTCATAACATGAAATGAAGTAAAACAAAGAAATAATAATGATTAAATAATACGGGAGAGATTTTTGAATGTTCCCAAAATGGTCTTTGTATGTTCACTATTAACAGTACAGCAATTTCAGAAAAAAATTACTTTTTTGAAACAGGTTAAATGGAAGGATACTTTGAGTGCCTACAAAGAACTCCAAGATAGAAAAATGCATAAAGCTAGTTGAAAGAAATACAGAAAATTTGTGATTAAAATTGTCCCACTTTAATCCTATATTAATAAATGGTTAGTGCTTGATGCTTGAAGACTCACTAGGATGTTTGGTGATTTCATTTTGTTTACTAAGACATTCTGGCAAAGTTTAACATTCATATCTGCAATGGTGTGTCAAAAGGACGCTTTTTCCTTGATGCTGCTATTATTTTAACTAACTTTACTTCCTCAACAATGTTGTTTTAAAAAGTGATGATTAGAATTTTAATAAAGCCAAAACATATGAAAGTGAATTTATACATTTTCTTTGTTTTTTGAGAATTTACAGCAAAAATATTAAACACTATCAGATTGTTTATTTACAAGAATGATTTTATATCTACATCATTCTAAATGTGAACTAATACAGTAAAAATTAAAAAGAAAACCTGTAAACACTGTAAAAAAAAAAAGGGAGTCATTTCTAAATGGTAGAAAAAAAAGCAGGAATATAAAAATCACAACTTACCAAAATGACAAGCACTGCCTTCATACGCATCTGAACAGTCACAATGCATGCTTGACCAATCAGATACACATTTGCTGTTGTGCTCACACATTGTACTGTTCTTGCAAAAGTCTACTAAATGACAACCATCTAAAATTGGCCCATTAGAAGCTTCTGAATGGACAATAGATATCAAGTCAACGGGTTCACCCTGCAGATATACATTGCGGATACAGCCAACAAAACCACTGCTTGCTGTTAGAAAAAAAATAAAAGAAAATTTTAAATTTAAAGTTTTATATGAAAAATGTCAAAGAATCTTGTGTTTTATTGTTAAATTTATTCTAAATATTGTTTCAGAAATTGAGCATTTTCTTTTTATACCCAACTTTGCTACTAACACATTGTTTTAGTGACTCTAGCTTTCAGACCTTGTCAGGTGAATATTCCATGAAGAAAATCGAGAAAATGTGATCACTAATATTGCAACCAGCTCAATCTATTTGCACTACCCAAGTACCGAGATGATTCCAAATTATATAAAGAACACATACTTTGATAAGTTGAAATCCATATTAACCTAATTTATAAATCTGTAAAACTGTCTGATCCATTTTTTACATTCCATTTGGCTTTTCCCAAAACTAAAATTCACTGTTGAAATTCTATTGACAAGATGGAGGAAAAAAATCAACATGTCACTTGGTGCTGATCCTGAAGGAGAACTTAGCAGACTATTTTGAAAAATGAAAAGGACACTGAGACATTTATCAAATTGTGAAATGAAAGTTATTTTGAATGGCCACTCTTCTTGATCCTTTTACATTAATGCAGGTGTTCCCCAGGGTTCTATCCTTTGACCTATGTTGTTCTTAATTTTTAATCAACAACCTTCCTGATGCCATCAGTTCTCAACTTGGTATCTATGTTGATGACAACTATTTACTCCTCTTAATGATAGGTCTGATCAACTTGATATGATCTAAAAAAAAATCTGTTGTTAACTGGGGCAAGAAAATGACCTGTTAATTTTAACATCTCCAAAACAAAACTGATCTTTTAATCATCTGAGAGAACCTTTTTGCCTTCCATCAGTATGGCTGATGCTAACCTCCAGGATAGTAACTCATTGTGCCTTCTCAGACTAATATTTTCCATTGACATGAAGTGGAATGATTATATTGAATCAATTGCTAGGTCTGCTGCTATGAAAGTTGGTTCACTGTTTCGTGCTAGACAATTTTTCTCACCAAAATCTATCTTACACATTTATAAGTCCACCATTCATCCTTGCTTTGAATATTGCTGCCATATCTGGTATGGTGCTCTGCTATGTATTTAGAAATTCTTGACAAAATACAAAAAGTCTGCACTGTTATTAGTCCTGACCTGGCATCTTGGCTTCAATCACTTTCCCACTGCTGAAAACATAACTTCCCTGTGCCTTTTCTATAAATGTTTTCATGATAATTGTTTTTATAATCTTTCCTCTTTGGTACCTAAACTTTATGAATTTAAGTTTACTACTTGTTTGATAGTTAGGTCTCATCATTTAACAGCTCTAATGGCTAGATGTAACCATAAGTTCTATGCTAATAGTTTTATCTTTCGCTTTCTTTTGAACTCTTGCTTTCCAGTCAATTTTGATCTTCAAAAACTTAAAAGCAATTTTATCTTCTGTTGTGGCCTTTTTAGGGATAGAAATAAAGACACAAAGAGAAGAATTGATTTAAACAAATATATTAACAGAAACTGTAATACAGACATATACAAATGAGAGTATTACAGCAAGAATGTTCGGTCCTACTGTCAGAGTTGACTGCTGAAAATTTTCCTCTCCAAAAGGCAGTACCTGCTCCTATTTATAGCTGGGTGTGTCCATGTGTGCATGGGTAAATTACTATAACATCTTCCAACTTCTTAATTCCTATTCTTTTATTGTTCTCTCTCCTTAATAATGCTTTCTTTTTCTCATATTTTCTCACACTCAGTAACCCCTTGCATTTTAGTGGCTTTACTGCCTTGCTTGGGGTGAAACGATTAAAAAAAGGACTTTGAAGGGGACTATGGTATCATTTCGCTACGTAGATTGTTTTTGGTGTTGATATTAAACAGATAAAAATTTAGAAAAATAGAGCTTGTATCAACATTAATTCCTCTATAAGGTGTTTTCATCATTGACTAATTTCTCCATTTTTTTTTTTAGGAGACCATTTCAACTGCTATGCACTCAACAACTTCCTCAGGTTTCTATTATGTTTGGGAATGTTGAGTTTCATGGAAATCGTGAATAAAAACAAAGGAACTTAACCAAAATACAAAGGATGCATGATATTCTTTGGTCGTTTTCCTAGAAAAAAAAAATTAAAATTTCCTCTTAAATGAAAATGCTTAAAACAAGTTATCTCCCTTAGATCAAAACACTATAAAATTAATTCCCTTACTATCTAAATGTAGCACAATGTATTTATTGTTCAGGTGCTTGAGTTACAGGAGAAAGTAGTTTCAATTTTATTATTAGATTATGGATGACCAATCTTCTCTCGACCCCACTTTTTCTGGGTTAGTGCCAAATTTCTGTATTTTTGTGGTAATAAATATTAAAATTTACAGACAAAAAAAAAAATACCCTGAAAAAGCTAAAAAGGAGGCCGATTGTATTAGGATCATAAAGTCAATGTGAACTTCACAATCCTTTCCTTAGATGCATAGTGTTTCAGCAAGGATATACATACAGTTTTAAATTGTTGTCCTCAAAGACTATTTTTTCTACTAATTAACCCAGGGCTGGATAGAAGAGAAGTCAATTCACGCTTTTCCAAGAGTGTTTGCATGTAAGTGAATGTCATGAATTTGAAGGGATTTCAAACTCTGCTCTCTGATTTCACAAGCCAAGCCAATACACATTACAACACATGCATATTCATCTATTTTTTACTTTAAATTTACAACAAGACTAAAAATAAAATAGGTGTAAATGAATGCAGAAAGATCATATTTCACCAGACCCCTAAGCTGGAAGAGATTGTAGTGACAGCAGGACAATTTAGCCATCGCAGTTGTTGCTTTGAATTTTTCAGTTTTGAACTTGCTTACTTGTTTTGTTAGTACAAATTTAGCAATTGGTCAAATTTTAACCAATCACATATATTAGTGCAAAATCAACTTTTCCCGCAGTTTCACTGGGAGCCTACCTGTAGCTTTAAAAGAGGCGACTTTTTCACATGCTGCCAGTAGAGTCCACTAAATTTTGCCTGTCAACACAAACCTATGACTTTACTTACAACATTTCAAACACACACACAGAATTTTGTAATACATATATACATATCTCTCTGTGACTCAGCCAAGTTCAATCAACCAGGACTCTGTTGATTTCTCTAACACAACACACTTTCTGATCAATTGTATCCTTGTGTTATCTATTTATATATTTTCTTGAATCATTAACAATACAAAAGATATATGCACTAAAGAACACACACTATAACAAGATCTTACCTTGAAAATAAACATTTGAAATTTTAGCTTTTGCCTGGGCTCAACCATTGACCTCTGACATTAGTAGGAAATATGCAACTATCTCAGCCATGAATTTGGCCTGTTACACTTACAAGATTGAATTGCTTATGTGATCTAGTGGAGGATGATGATGATGTTTTCTTCTCTAGTCACCAAACTCTTTCCTACTGACACAACGTTGCAAATCTATTGCTACTACTGTTGCTAAATCCATGCCAAAAGTTCAGATGAGCTCCATTCTTTAGTTTAATTCAGATCATTGCAACAAGGATACACCATGATACTTCCACAGAGTAAAAAAAAACTTTCATTTCCCCTGTGTTCTAAATGTAAAGAGAACATTTCAATCAGACAGCTTTTTCTCAACAACTGCCATGTTGTAGAACAGACACCCACATGAACATTTTGGCATCTTCAAGTCAAGAATTCCTCATTATCCTTCCTCTCTACCACTTCTTCATACATTCATCACACATCTCATTCATCATTACTATTTTGATTGTAACCCTCTACCTTGAGTTGTTCTCGAGCCTTGTATTGGGTGAAAGTATTTAAAAAAAAAAAAAAAAAAAAAATCAAACTAAAAGATTCCATTCCTTGTTTCTCAATAAATGTTTCGGCCATTGTATGTTCCAGCCTTCTTCACATGATATATGTCAGAACCTTATATTAGCTGAATAAGAATTATTTTTATTATGAATGTAACTATTGTAAATGTTTCAGACTGTTGTCCTCATCTTTATTTCTGTATTCATAACATTTTGGCTGTTGTATGCTCTGGCCTTTTTTGAGGTGATATACATTGGAATCTAACATTCCATCGTATATCATCTGAAGAAGGCTGGCGCATACAATGGCTGTAATGTTGGGAATATAGCAATAAAGATGAGGATAACAGTCTGAAAAATGTAAATAGTGTAAATGGTTACAATACCTAATCTCAGAAATATAGACAGATTTTGAAAAATACTCCTTTTTTAAATTTACACTTCATACAAAGTGGAAATGAAAAAGTGTGGAGTTAGGCGTTTTTAAAATCTTGATTTTAGAACTTTTAAATTTCTAAATCATTGGATATTTTAAAAATATTTGGATGAAAACAGTCACAAAGAAAAAGAGCAACATGGTTTTCATTTGATTGTTTTTTGGGTTTTTTTTTTTAATAGTCACCTTCATTTGATTGCTACCAAGCTCAGCTGGTGTACCTGCTTGTAGAGTCATTAAATGAGAAAAGCTTCAGCAGAAACTATTTTTGGCAGACATGAACAGTCACTTCTGTATAAATTATATAATTTGTTTGTTTGTTATATTTTGTTTACCTTTCATGAAACAAAATATGCCAAAAAAGTTGCTCATTTTCTTTCATTTTCAGGGTCAGAATCAATGAATACAAATATAGCAGGTATGATAGATTGTTTTTAATATTGATATGTCAGCTGTCACAATCAAAATTGTCTTTTTGGATGACATAAAATGTGTTTAATGTCATCTAACAAAAATGGATTGAATTTTTTATATAATCCAATATGTAGTTTTATCTAGAAGCTCTTGCTGAAATTTATATGGAATAAACATTGTTGAAAAAGACATTTCATAAAAACATTTAAATCTTGATGTTTAGTGAATTGCTTACCTGAAAAATCGTAGCCCACATATAGTTTTTTACGTAATTTTGGTTTATTGTGTCCATAAGGTTTGGCCTTAACAGTGACACCATCGACAGTCAATGTGGGAAGTCTGAAAATGAAAGTGAAATGTAAATCAAAGACATAAGAAACTGAATTATTCTAAAAATTATTCAGACCAATATTTTCATCCTTGCTACATTTCTAAAAATGCCTTACATCAATATTCCTCATTCTCCAAAATTTCAAAGTGGATCATTTTTATTATTCCACAAGTTATTCAAATTTGTATTTTCATCCTTGAATTTCAATAAATGTGAATTTTTTTATCTAGTCAGGCTTTTTTTTTTTCCTTTTATAAACAAAACCGTTTTTTGTGGTACAAACATTGGCAGTTTGTTCAGCCTTTTAAGAATATTACAGCAAATAAAACTTTGGATAATGACTAATGACTAAAGAATAAATTGGAAAAATATAGGCAAAGACAGAATTCTTTCTGAAAATTTCTTTAAATAATGGCAATGATGTCTTTCAGAATGAATGGAGAGAAAAAAATGAAAAACAAACGGCATAAAATGAGGGAGGGAAAGAAATAAATGAGGATAGAAAAAAAAAGAAGAAAAGAAAAAAGTGAGTGTGTAAAATAGTGTATTGAGAAATAAACAATTATATCAAACCAGCTTGAAGATCCAAAAGGTGAAACTGCAGTAGTGGGTGTGGTATCCTTTTTTCAATAAAAACATTTGTAGTATTACTTGGGTGTTTAGGTATTGAGGATTTTTTTTTAAATTGTCTAGAATTGGTCAATTTTAGGGTAAGTTTTATCCCAGAGTGAAGATTTATATATATATATATATATATGTGTGTGCGTGTGTGAAGATAGAAAACATTCAGTGAACAATAGAAAGGTTATAGAAAAGGAAAAGAAAAAAAAGAAAGGCAAAAGAGAATGGGCAAAAATAGCCATGAAAAGATAACATGACAGGAAGAAAGAAAGAAAAGAATTTTCGTTCTGTTACATATTGTCTGCTGGCAACTTTTGAACAAAATTTATTTTTTAATTGTTTCAATTTTAACAATAGTGAAAACTCAGCCAAAGACTTATTTTTATTACAAAGATATATATTTGTGTATAAGGCTTAATTTTATGACAAATATTCTCTCCAGAATCTGTTTTACATATCTATAAATCTACTATTTGCCCATGCTTTGAATATTGCTGCCAAATCTGGTTCAGTGTTCCTACTATATATTTAGAGATTCTTGATATAATCCAAAGAAGATTCAGCAATATTATTGGCTCTGATCTGGCATCTCAGTCACATTGTTACCACCATAAAGTTGCTTTCCTGTGCCTTTTTAAATTCTTCACTATTCTACCTAGACTTTATGAATTTAAGTGCAGTACTTGATTGGCAACAAGGTCAAGTTGAATTGGCTAAATGTAACTATAAATTCTATGCAAACCAGTTTCTTTTCTTCCACTTCTCTTTTCTGGATTCATATTTTCCAATTAACTTTGATCTTCAAAAATTTAAATGCAATATCAATTGTTATCTATGTCTATCTGATCATTCTTCTATTGGTCTCACTCCTTAATGTTTCTGTTTTCTAATTCTTTCACAGTAAATTCTTGTGACTTAGTGGCTTTACTGACTTGCCTAGGATGAATTCTATATATATATATGTGTGTGTGTGTGTGTGTGTGTGTGTGTGTGAGATATGACTGAAAAGTCCTGGTTCAACCCCACTTCCCAAGATATAACCAAATATCAGAATTTATTTTGGTCAGGCTCAGATACTTAACAACCATTACCTTTATATATACATATATGTAAAATAACTTCTGCAGTTTCATCTTTCCAATTTTACTCACAAAACTTAGGTCAAACTGTGACAGGATTTTCAGGCACTTATCAGCCATGCTGCATACTGGGCTAGTCCCCCAAAGGTAATATTAGCAGAATATTACACCTCTGAAAAATTGACCATGGTTAAATTTGAATCCAGGTCTCAATATCTGGAATGCTAATGTTCCAACCACTTTGCTACACATACACTTCATTTTATTATTATTTTTTACACAATATACTCCAATGTCAAACTGGTGGCCCACGGGTTGATGCAGCCCTTTACATGCATCTTGGTGACCCTAACAAAGGTTTCTATAGCCATGGTATATCGAGAATTTTGTCTATGTTGGTAATGCAAATTATTAAAAACTGAGATTTTTTTTCAATTGGTATGATTAGATTGTTTATTCTATCTCAATGGTTTTTTTGTTTTTGAATGTCAGCGACTATTTTTAACCTCTGGTTAATCATGTGATCATCTTTGACAACTAAATAAGAACAAATGTAAAGTGAAAATGTTCGTAATTTTGTAATATTTTGCCTTAAAAATGTCCAATTCTACTCCATCTTGTAAAAAGAGAAAATTATCTAAAGAAGGATGTGTGCTTCAAGAAAAGCAGGAATTACAGTACTTTTGTGCCACTGTTAATGGAAAGAAACTGATTTGCAACCACTGCATTGCGATGCCAAAAGAATATAATGTGAAAAGATATTATGAAACAAACCATTGATCTTATGATAAATATGAAGGAGTTATGCATGTTTCAAAAGTGAAGGAATTCAAGGTTAAGTTAACATGGCAACAGAGTTGCTTTACAAAAATTTAGTTCTGTTACTGCAAGCTTTGAACTCTGTGATGTCTTGTAAAAACAGCTGAAACTGTGTATCCAGAGACGTCACGCTTATTTCAAGACATTTTATTAAGCAGGAATACTGTTGCTGAATGGATTGATGAAATGGAAAGTGATTTGAGTCGAAAGTTGAAAACTTTATCATTAAGTTTTGAACATTTTTCTATTGCTCTGGATGAGTCTGTTGACATAGCTGGAATAGCACAGCTTGCCATTTTCATCAGGTCTTGTGACAATGAATTTCAAATTTATGAAGAACTAATTGAACTGGTCCCGATGCATAATACTACAACAAGCCAGGACATTTTTGAGAAAGTTGAACAGCTTCTCCATGAGTATGGCCTTGATTTGAGTAAACCTGTGTGTTTATCTACTGATGGTGCTGCCAATATGGTTGGGAGCCAAGTTAGGTACACAAATAGAAAACATATATCCAGATTCAACATTCAAGCATTTTCACTGTATAATTCATTAACAAAACTTATGTTCCAAGATTTTAAAATTAGATCATGTGTTGAGTTTTGTCATAAAAACTGAACTATATCAGAGGTTGTGCTCTGCATCACCGTCAGTTTAGCCAGTTATTGGAAGACGTGAATAACCCAGTTCACAAATGTCCCATTCTACACAGAAGTTTGGTGACTTTCATGTCACATGGTACTGAAAAGATTTTTTTTATTGCAACATGAAATTGTCACGTTTTTGGAGATGAAGAGTCAAATCACAGATGAATTGAAAGATGAAAGCTGGCTCCAAGATCTCTCTTTTTCAGTGGATATCACTGCCCAATTAAGTGACCTTAATTTGAAATTACAAAGTAAAAATAAGCTTATCACTCAGTTATATGATGATATCAAGCGTTTCATTGCAAAATTAGATTTATTGAAATCCCAGTTGTCATATGAAAACTTGATTCATTTTCCTATGTGCAAGGAGTTGTAAAAACTGCCAATACTGAGTCTATTTATCTTTGCTAAGTACGACAATTACCTGGAATTGCTGTCAAAGGAATTTCAGTGAAGATTTTGTAATTTTTCATCTTGTGAAGATCAGTTTGCATTATTCTCAGCACCATTCACCGTTGATGCTGTTCAGGCAGAGTAAAGTCTACAGATGGAACTACTGGAAATGCAGACTGACTCAACATTCAAGGGAAAGTACCTAGAAGTAGGGGTACCCAGATTCCTCAGACCTTTAAGAACTTCAGAAAGTTTGCTACAAAGATTATGGTGATGTTTGGTTCCACATATGTCTGTGAGCAGTTATTTTCATTTATGAAGGCCACAAAAACGTCTCACAGAACCAGATTAACTGATGAACATCTGTCATCTTTGATCAGACATTCCAACCTGATATATCTAGAATATTTTGTCTAAAGTGATATAAATCATCAGGACAACACAAAAATGATTAAATTGTACTACTACCTTGTATTGTAATTATTTTGTATTTAAATTTTAGTTACCACTAGCTGTGATTAATGTAAGACTGTAAGCAGGAGCAGCCCTCAAGACTGCAGATATGGCTGATGTCCATATGCCCTCAGTTTGACATGTCTAATATAGCTTAATGATGATTTTACAAAGATACTTTGAATTAATAAAATATATACAACAGTACAAAATGAAGTACCTGAGAAGTGTATAAACATCTCAATACATTTTTTTTAACACTGAAATTCAACAAAATATTTAATAGTAAAAAATATATATAGATGAATGATTAAGGGTTATTTGCATGTTGCATGAATATACAAAGAAAAATAGATTTTGATAAGATATATTGTCTTCAGGTGTCTTGAAGTTCTGCATGTAAATTGAAGATCAAATGTGGATGGATTCAGAGCAAAGATGGTTTTAATTTGCAATGGGTCAAAATGAGTTGAAATAAGTTTTTATAGATGAACACAAAAGAAAAAGGAACTATTTGCAAAAAATCCATTATTAAAAACTACATAAAGCACTTCTGAGCTTTACTTTCTTATATATAAACATACACATTTATCATGTATATTTATTTTTATTGTGTGTGTTCATGTATAAAACTAGTAAATATAAATATATATATATATATATATATATATATATATCCTCCCAAAAAAAAAACTAATTTTTGTAATAGTGATCATCATTTTTATTAAGAAAAAATAAATCACACTACACTGGTCAATGTGTACAGGGTGCTTATTACTTTTTCCCAGTTGAACAATGAAGGATGTTTGAAATTCCATTTCAAATAAGTAAAAATGTTTAAACAGAGTCTGCGTTAACACTGCAACAGGCCTATGATAGCGGAGTATTTGAATTGTTACAAGTGGTACTATCATTTCAAATCCAGAAGAACATCTTTTAAAGATGATCCCAATGTAAGTGACATTTTATGTCAATAGATAACAATAGCATTAAGAAAAGGCATGCTGTGAGTCATGAAGATCATCACATGACTGTCTATAAAGTTTCCAAAGAGACAGAAATCTGGAAAAGATTTGAAGCACATCGTTTTAAAAGGTGAAAAAAATGATTATATATAAGTTTTATTTTTTTTTTTTAACTTTTCACCCCAAGCAAGGCAGGAGTGCCACTAGCACACAAAGGGTTACAGAAAGTGAGAGCAAGAATAAAGAGGCATTAGAGAGGAAAAGATGAAGAGAAGGATGGGGAATAGATCAAGACATCTGGAGATGCTGATTGACATTGCACTTGAATAGTTGAAGATTGTAAAATTTATGCTGTGTCTGTTGGCAAATGAGCAAAAATTGAACCATTATCATTCAGGAGTTGGTTAATTGTATGTGTTGAGTGAAGATGGAAATAAACAGCCCAGACAGTAAGACACCAAATAACTAAAACATGTTTTCTGAGTTGGAGGATTCGTGCATCCTTCCAGTTAATAAATTAGTCGTTTGAAAATAAACATTTAACATTTTTCAACCAATGGGTCACATTCACACTGACAATGGAATGGAAGAAGTGGACTCAAATGACAATAAAATGGAAGAAGTGGACTCAAATGACAATGGAATAGAAGAAGTGGACTCAAATGACAATAAAATGGAAGTGGACTTAAATGACAATAAAATGGAAGAAGTGGAAGAAAGTGGACTCAAATGACAATGGAATGGAAGAAGTCAAATGACAATAAAATGGAAGAAGTGGACTCAAATGACAATAAAATGGAAGAAGTGGACTCAAATGACAATAGAATGGAAGAAGTGGACTCAAATGACAATAAAATGGAAGAAGTGGACTCAAATGACAATAAAATGGAAGAAGTGGACTCAAATGACAATGGAATGGAAGAAGTGGACTCAAATGACAATAAAATGGAAGAAGTGGACTCAAATGACAATAAAATGGAAGTGGACTTAAATGACAATAAAATGGAAGAAGTGGACTCAAATGACAATAAAATGGAAGTGGACTTAAATGACAATAAAATGGAAGAAGTGGACTCAAATGACAATGGAATGGAAGAAGTGGACTCAAATGACAATGGAATGGAAGAAGTGGACTCAAATGACAATAAAATGGAAGTGGACTTAAATGACAATAAAATGGAAGAAGTGGACTCAAATGACACTAAAATGGAAGAAGTGGACTCAAATGACAATAAAATGGAAGAAGTGGACTTAAATGACAATAAAATGGAAGAAGTGGACTCAAATGACAATAAAATGGAAGAAGTGGACTCAAATGACAATAAAATGGAAGAAGTGGACTCAAATGACAATAAAATGGAAGAAGTGGACTTAAATGACAATAAAATGGAAGAAGTGGACTTAAATGACAATAAAATGGAAGAAGTGGACTCAAATGACAATAAAATGGAAGAAGTGGACTCAAAATATAACAATATATTTTGATGAAGACAACATTAGAAGACTTACTGGTCTTTAAATGTCAGATGCAGTGTATGCCACAGGTTATCATTCACATGAGTTGTGATTGGGATTGACTGCGTTATATTCTGCCTCTTGCTGAATGGAACAAACTTGAGGTTGGGATATCCATCTAATAACCAAACCTGTGAATAAAAATATGCAAGAAGAAATAATGAAAATTTCACTGAATTTCTTCAATGGACACTGAAGCAGATGAAACCATCAATAGCATTTTATTTAATTCTGTCAAGTAACTATTCTTTAATTCAATTTACTGATGAAAGGCACTTTCTACAAGACCAGAGAATGTAAATATCATTCAACAAATGGTTGTTGATCTTAGTGATGATTTACTACAAAATGAATCCCACTAATAAATGTATACAAGGAAATGATTGTAAGTCTTTGCTGGATCTGAAGATAATAACTATCACTTAATTCAAAATAACCCATTGTCTTGAATCTAGAAGATAAAATAATAAACAAAAGAAAAAAATAACAAAATACAATGTTTCTAACAGATGGTTTCAATCTCAAGAATGAAGGCTAAAAATCTCCCCTCCCAAAATTTATAGACAAATCCTACAGATGCATGCTGGGATTTCTTCCTAGCCAATTAAAAGCCTATAATCACTTTACTGTATCCATTTTTACATGTGAATACTATTTCTAATTTGTGAACTTTTTTATTGTCTTATAGTTGCTTTGCCTTGCATTGTCTTGTATTATTTTGCTTTGTTCTTTTTCTCTTATTAATAATTTTGTCATTTCTGCTTAACCATGTCTGCATCCTTAATGCTAACATTTTCTATTTAGTTTTTTTGTTTTGTTTTATGGCATATCAACCTCAATGGGTTATTTAATTTTGACAACTTTTATTTTTTTTCCTGGTAATATTTTTGTTTTGTCAAAAATCTATTTCTGTTAATATTTTTTTCCTCAAAAATGTATAGCTGGTAATATTGTTTATTCAAAAATGTATAGTTGGTAATATTTTTTCAAAAATGTATTGCTGGTAATATTTTTTTTTTCAAAAACGTATAGCTGGTAATAATATTTTTTCAAAAACGTATTGCTGATAATATTTTTTTTTTCTTCAAAAATTTATTTCTGGTAATAATTTTTTTTACAAAATATTTCTGGTATTAAAACCTATTTTTACACTTTTATAATGCTTTTTACCTCAGTTTTGGGGTTAACTATTTGCCCATAGCTGGGACCCAAACAGGTGCTACCACCCCAGGTCAGGGTGGACCTGGGAACACCAGCAATTAAGAGGTGGTTCCATGTTCCTCAAAGCCTCCTGTAGTTTATCGTCTTACCCTGGATATAGTTTATTGTCATACCCAGAATGAGTTTCTATTTAGATTTGAATAAATAAATTATTAACACTTCCACTTCTGTTGGTGTATACACCTTTAAAAAACATTGCATGCAACTTATGTATATATACATTTTCAAGACACTGTAAAATGCTGGTCACTAACATTTGTACTATACTAGTGCTTAGTGCTATTTCCAAACTAACATGGACATATAGTCATATACAATACAATCTGTGTTACAATGTATTCTTATTATATTGTGTGTTATTCAGTCTGTATAGAACTTGATTAAAACTAAAATGGCAGCACCCCTGAGGCATTAACATCAGTGCCTTTATAGTCACTTATTTCCAGTAAATGGCAATTTCCTATTTTTCCAAAAATGGGCCAGCACAGCCAGGCAACAATGCAGCAGCGAAAGGGTTAATAAAAGTGGCGAAATATTGTGTTCAGAATTTCTGCTGTTTTAAAATTAAAGAAAATTTAATTATTTATAAGAAGTGTTTTTTAAGCAAATTATCAAAAAAAATATAAAATTTTAAAAAAGTCAAATCCACAATTATTATTATTACATTCTTAGATACATTTTGAGAAAAGAATTTAATTTCAACTAGAAACTTTAAATGCAACACAGGTTTTATCTGAAATTTTGATAAAATTAATATTAATCATATTCTATTAGTAATGTTTATATTAATTCCTGACCGCTGACAATCCCTTTTTTTCTAATTTTCAATGTATAACATACAGATTTAGTTCTGAAACTTAATAAAAACAATTGTAGGTCAAAATTAGAAAATTTCAGTGCTTAATCTTGAATTTTTTTTAACCTACTACAAAAACTATCTCATTTTATAAGTTCAGAAAATGACTAAAGCTAATCAATGAAATAACGTCAGTAGGTATGAATAAAAAAAGTTAATACCAATTCCCATGTACAATATATTCAAATGCATTTGGTATTAAAATACAACAACAATTACTGTTTTTGTTTTTCTTCTACAAAATTTGCTGTGTCGTATAAACATAAGTAACTGAAAATTCTGATATACACTGATAAACAAAATTGAAAAACATAAAAATATGTTTCAATTTATTCAAGATTATATAGTGATCACATACACAGTTGAATATATGTATGGATTACAAAATAAGTGTATCAACATTACATGCATACCATCTATATGTTTGTTAGTCCATATGTACATATGGCAAATACCATCCTGCGGTACATTATACCATGTTTCTTGCACCTGTTAATGAATACAGGAACAGTTGGAAGTGAGCTAATTGAATGGGTCAGACATTGTTCCATCACTTCTTATAAATTTTTAGTAGACTACATGAATGGTGATCATGCTGGTCAAGGAAATTGTTGAACATTTGCAGAGCAAAACAGATAATCTTAGGATGGATATTACATTACCAGAAGAGCATATCAACTTCCTGTTGCCAAAATGGCAGCAGAACAATATTTTTTATATATTCTTTTATACCAAACAATAGTCAGGCTAGTGGAGAATTTTTTTTAAAGACTACTGATTCAAATAAATAGACAAGTGGGAATTTTTGTATAAGTTTAATAAATGTGCCAGTTTGGATAATAATTCTGGTTGGTTGTTCTTGCTTAGTAGCATATGAACCTCTATGGGTTATTTAGTGCTAAAATATAAATATTTTGTACACAATTTTGTTTTATTTTTTCTTTTGACAATAATAATGGTTTTAGTTATACAAGCCTTACTAATTAACCCATAGCTGGAGGGAGAAGATGTGGATTCATACATTTCTCAAGAGTATTTGTATATAAGTGAATATAATGAACTCAACTGGAATTTGAACTTGGCTCTCCAATTAAAATTTCTGAGCCATTATCTATTACACCACCCACACATACAAGCTTACAGCACCTGGTATTTTCAAGCGGTCATTCATCTGACCAAGCTCAACATTGCATAACTTTGGTGATTGTACTGGAAACTAGTGTTTCAATGTAATGTGGCCTTAACCCCAATGGTTCTGGGAAAAGTTTTGAAAAATAATAAGCATTTTTTATCAAATAACCTTTATCCAGATGCATGGAGGGATGTAAACGAAGTAAGTTTTCTGGCACTTGTGGTTGGTACATAAGAGTACCTAGCACTGGTCAAATAATTCCTCAACCAAGATCAAAGGCAAACAACAGCTGTAACTAGAACATGATATCATAGTTTGGGTCTGTATTTCAGGAGTAAATATATTCTGGAAGTTCTTTAAGTTAACATCATATATATAAACAACTTTCACTTTCATGAAGGTGGAACCTGCTCTTATCACTGAATGCTACAAGGCATCATTCAAAATTCCAGTAACACAAAAAGAGATATGTATGAATTGTGCTGGTGTAAGTGATAGTCTGACTAGATACATGTTTGCTTGCAATTCTGCTCCAAGTAAAGGAATTCCAACAGTCTGTGTTGACAGTCATGTGCCTACATTTGATCTAATCTCTGATATGGCCACTGGGTACTCACACACTGCTACCCTGACAATGTATCAATCTTAGTGAGCTATACTAAACGGCTATCCAGAATTTGGTCTGTGGGTGTAGGAATCATCTTTTCACAACTTCTGCGGACATTAAAGCACCACCAATCCAACATATACATTATTTTAAGACATTTTTATGTTTAACATTCTTTTTATAGATACAAATATTTAAGTAAATGCTCTGTTTATGATAAACAGTATTAATAACATTTACTGGCCTGAATGTCAGACATTTTCATAGGAAATATTTGTCCTCTGACAGGATTCAAACCTGTATCCTATATGGAACCGTCATATAGCCTAACATGCCTTTAACCGATTCAGCTACAGAGGATCGTTCTGTTTGCAAGGTTGAATTTACTGCTTTTAAACTTCAATCATCCATGAATCTCTCGCGTACATCCATATCTGCTCATGGCATATCAAATGTAAACAAATGATGTCACACATTATGAAATGGACAAAGTCCGACAATTAGTTTAAGACATTTTTATGTTTATACATTCTTTTTATAGATACAAATATTTAAGTAAATGCTCTGTTTATAATAAACAGTATTAAACAACATTTAACGGCCTGAATGTTCAAGAAATTTTTCATAGAAAATATTCGTCCTCCAACAGGATTCGAACTTGTATCCTATACGGAACCGTCATATAGCCTGACATGCCTTTTTACCGATTCGGCCACAGAGGATCGTTCAGTTGGCATGGTCAAATTTACTGCTTATAAACTTCAATCATCCATGAATCTCTCATGTACATTCATATCTGCTCATGGCGTATCAAATGTAAACAAATGACGTCACACATCATGAAATGGCCGAATCGGTAAAAAGGCATGTCAGGCCATATGACGATTCCGTATAGGATACAGGTTCGAATCCTGTTGGAGGACGAATATTTTCTATGAAAATTTCTCGGACATTCAGGCTGGTAAATATTGGTTAATACTGTTTATTAAAAACAGAGCATTTATTTAAATATTTGTATCTATAAAAAGAATGTTAAACATAAAAATGTCTTAAAATAATTGTCGGACTTTGTTCATTTCATAATGTATGTACATTACTATACATTATTATATAATCCTCAAGGACAGATGTCACAGTGGATAAAGGCATTAGATCCAGTGACACAAAGAGTGTGAGTTCAATACCTGGTTAAGGTGGTGGAGAACTTGGAGAGGGGAATTAACAGGAGATAACTGATAACTGACATCCATTAGACATGGCATGTGGAACTAGAACAGTCTACCCCAGTGAGCAAAATAAAGGGTTCAGTTTGACATTCCAACCACCTGAAGATCGGAGCATACACTGTTTAAAAAGTTATGATAAATATGGTGACAAAGATGAGGATAATAGTCCAAATAATGTAAATAGTGTACATAATATCTTATCTCAGAAATATAGACAGATACTGAAAGGCCAAAATGTTGAAATGAATATGGCGACAAAGATGAGGACAATAGTTCAAATAATGTAAATAGTGTACATAATACCTCATCTCAAAAATATAGACAGATACAATCCAACATGTACAACAATTCTTCAAAAAGACCCCCATCTTCTGAAATATCCATTACCTGTTCTCTCTAAAACAGCTCTGAATGCAAAGTGCATGTGTACATCTTTGTGACATTATACATGCTGACACTAGACTCTTACTACATAGAACCTTTATATTGCAGCATGCATCACCATCTAAAACTCAGATGTGCACTGCCATTACTGTTTCTTTGTCAAAGGCTGAAGGATAAAAATTTTATTAAAACATCTACTCCTTCTGTACCCAGATCAAAATTGGTATCATCTTTAAGTGTATGTTAATTTTCTGTCAATTTGTTTAAGAGGTCCTACCCATGATATCAAGGATTTCAGTTTGTTCAATAATTAAAAAAATACAAATAAATTATCTGAAATGAGAGCAAATAATATATCTTTACCTCTAGAATCCCAGAATCAGTGCCTGTCTGACTATCGAAAGTGGTCAGGCCAATATATAAAAGGATGGCAGTTTCTTGGATGGTTCTAAACTGCATTTGTAATTCAAGGTTGTATTTGTCTGTAAGGTTAAGAGAAAGCAGAGTTCCAATACGTGGAAAGGACAGTGGCGTATTCTGAATTGGTTCACAGCCGTACTGCACGTTAGGTCCACCATGGTATTGTGTTGAGCCATTTCCATGTTTTAAATCATAGAGAACTGACACATCATTGAAGTAGATGTTCTGTAAACAGCCAATGAAGTTTTGTGTAACTTTCAAACCTAAAATGAAATAAAATAACATTAAAATAAAACCTGTATTTAAAGAAAGATTTTTAAACCTCTTAAAATTTGCTGCTACAACATGAAATCTTGTCAAAGAAATTTATGAGGTTTCAAATAATTTCAGAACATTTAAGATCTATTTAATCTCAGTCAAAATAAAACAGCCTTCAGGTAGTGACCTAAAAATATTAATTCTGTTTTATTCTTAGATATTAAATGCTCCTTATGTAAGGAGTTTTTAATTTTAACTTCATTTAAAATGATTTGTTTTTGTTGTAACAATTGAGAGGAAACAACATTATATAATGTACTTTTAGGTCTGTAATGATTGTAACTTGCTCACTTATCAGCTCTTAAGTTTTGAAAAATCCCACCTTCTAGCTCTTATTTCAACCTTCACACTTATTTTTATGGAAACTTTCTAGAATAAATTGCAATTCTAAAAAAACAAAAGTCAAATGATCATTTAGAATTGCAAAACTGATTTGATACAGATTAAAAAAATTAATTCAAATTATAATTCATTGAATTTAAATCATAGCAAATCAAATTAATACTTTAAATATGTAATGTTCTGTCTGTTTTTGTTGTCTTCAAAATAAATTTAAAGCAATGGCTGAGAAAAGAGAATTTGGAAGTGGCTCTTATGAACAATGTCTTGATCTTTCTAAAGAAATCCCAATTGAAATTTCACAAAAACCTAAACCAGCAAAGGCAAACACAATGACTGGAAACACTTTTTCGCTGTTGCAGGAATTTGTGACAATAAAGAAATAAACAAGGATACTGCATTTTCTTGAGGAATACTATAAGTTTTTGACAAGAGTGAAACTTTGGTATTATTCATACCTTTTCATGATCAGTTTATGGTTGTATACAACAATGCATGACAAGCCATGAAACAACAAACAGCATTTCTAAAGTTTATATTTGCAGTAAAAAATTTGATATAGAAGAAAATTGTTTTAACTCTTATTAAATATCTCGGTATATATTTACAAGTCATTTCCCCATTCAAATAAACTAAATTCTAAACTAATCCTTCCCACTCCAAGGATTTTTTCACAAAGCCTCCTCATTAAATTTTGTAAAAGATTTCCAATGTTCCACTTATTCCAACCTACCTATTGAAGACCCAAGAGTAGCAGATAGACAACATACTGAAAAAATATCTAAATTAAGCATTGAAAATCATTTGTACCATGTTGGTCACTTTAATGTGTAGTTTCCACATTAAGTTAACCTTTAGTACTCTGCAGGCCACTTTGTTCAGCTATAAATTTGTCCTGATACTACAGGTGGCTCCAAACAATGAACAATAGTGTGTTTGAATTTTACTCTTGTGTTATCATATCCTACAAAGGCAATGACTTTGAAATCAAAAACTTAGCTATTACAGCCATATACAATGTAAGTAAAAGTAATACATTTTGAATGTGATAAAGGTTAAGATTTTTAACAGTGAAGATAGAACTTATACAAGAATGTTGATATTTGAGTTAAAGTTTAATTTGGTACAAGGCCATATAAGTGAGGATCAATTTCCCTAATGGTCTGCAAAAATAACTTTTTAATTATAGTTCTGTATTAGTTGTCCAGATATTAAATACTATTTAGTGTGGTACAAGGCAAGAGAGTTGGGCACTCAGACTGACAATTTTCTGCAGACAACTATTTCTCTAATGCAGATGCCCAATGTATGGAAGCATCTATTTTTGTACTTTGTTAAAGATTTTCAGGGAAGTGAAGATGGCTTAGTGGTTAACAACACAGAAAATGGAATCAATGAATTGAGTTCACACTCCAGCTGGAAGAGTTTGTGCTCATTTTGCACTAATACCACATGGGAAAGGTATGAATCCAGACATGAAATATTGCAACTTAAACTCATACCCAACAATGTATTCCTGTTTTAACTTACAATATGATTTAGAAAATTCATTTAAAATTAAAGATGATCAAATCATACTCATAGATATGGTCAGTTATCTGATATACAAATGAATTTTAATAAATGTCCTGTGCGTACGCTATCCTGTGCAGCTGCGGAAAGAAATATAAAGGGGAGACAGGCTGTTGTTGCATATATGTTATAATTTCTCCATGAGAGACATGTGTATATATGTAGATCTAAATTTTGTGACATTTTTATGTTTATACATTCTTTTTATAGATACAAATATTTAAGTAAATGCTCTGTTTATAATAAACAGTATTAACAACATTTACACCAGCCTGAATGTCCGAGAAATTTTCATCCTCTGACAGGAAGAAATATTTGTATCTATAAAAAGAATGTTAAACATAAAAATGTCTTAAAATATTTGTCGAACTTTGTCCATTTCATAATGTGTGACGTCATCTAATTTTGTGTATGATGTAGCTTTATAAAAATCTCTCTGAGAACAAAACATGTTCGTCATTCCTTTTCCTTTCAGCCACTTTGTTCTCTCTGTGAAATATGGTATTATTAGATCATGGATATAATAAGGCTCATAATGGGGGAAATAAAAAAAAAGGGAGAATACTTCTTTCTTCCTTAGTTCACTCTTGTTACAATATTTTAAATTACAATATGATTTAGAAGATACATTCAAAATTAAATCAAAAGAACGATATTCAAATTGTTTTTAGATTGACTTGCTACTGAAAGTGCAGCAGTATCATTGGGTGTGGTTGCAGCCCAGCTTATGCTTCAGAAGGTGTTTACAGAAATATACAGCAACCGTACATAAATATTAATTTGCATAAAAAGGGATTTATTTTTATGATGATTTCATGCATAAAGAGACGTTAAAACTTACCTTTGGTTTTGACAAAATTTTGTCCTCCCCCAAAATAGACATGGGGGTCAAGGTTAAGATAATTCTTGACATCTTTTGACTTTGTTTTACTATCCAAGTGAACGTACATTAACGTGCCCTTATGGACCAGAGTCAGGTTGTGCCAGCTGTAATAATAACAACAAGAGTTTTATTAAAAGGATGAAATGACGAAATGCATTCAAGGTATACAACACAGTGAAACTGTGGGAGTAAAATAGTTCTTTACCCACCTCACAAGACCCCCACCTCACAAAAAAATTAAAAGCTGATGTATTTCCACAAGTGTACATTTATACCAAAATATCTATTTAAGATTTGATTTGTACCAGAAAAAAATATTCTTGATTGCTCAATTATTTTTTAGACTTATATCTTTAATTCTGTTGCCTTCCATCCCAAGAAATTTAATTGTATTTGTTTCTTTAGAGTTTTAAATTTTATTTACTACATTAAATGACATACTATAAATAACTACTGTTATTAACTTTCCAAATAATTTCACATATAAGACTCAGAAGATGTTGAGCAGTTTTGACAGTAGGGGAGGATCTTATACACAATTAAATATGGTAAATTGCATGAAATTTGGGAAAACTAAAGCCTGTTCATTCATTCCACATATCATATAATTTGAATTTAATTTCATGTTTCAACCATAATTTGTCATCATAGAAAGTTACAAAAAAGAGGAAGGTAATAGTTAAAAAAATAAACTGAGTGAAAACTCAAACTTCTAAGTTCTTACACCAAAGTTTCATTGTTTCAATGTGTATATGTGTTGGTTATATATATATATATAAGTAGTCAGATTCTAAAAAAATGGTTAATCAGATTAAAATACAAAGCTTCTCTCCAGTTTCTTTTTGATTTGATAATGATGCTGCTATATTAATATTAAGGCATATCAATATGTTATTATATACAGTAGTCCAAAAGTAAGGTATTTTATTGAAGAACTAGTGTACCTATGCCATCAAAAATGACAATTCTTTGGAAGTTTTAATATTGAGATGCAATGAAAAAAAAATTTTGAAACAATTTATTCATGTTCAATAAAACAGTGGTCCAAAATTTCACAACTAAAATAAGTCAATGAACTTAATTAATCTGTTCCTTTATTAAATTTAAAAAGATATTTCATTGTCGGTGACAGCTTTATCTCATATCCAAGAATTTAATTTTTCCTTTTCTAATTGCTTCGTTTATGATGATGGCATTGATGACTAAGTAGACCAATTCTTGCCTGAAAGAGGCAATGGCATTGACTGCATAGTAATGATAATGGAGGATGGAGTCAATGTTCTCAAGCATCTCTTGTTTGACGTCTTCCTTTTCTCTTCTGGTGGCTTCACAGTTTTTGGTGCTGATGATGATAGAACATCACCAGTTGGTACAGTCTTGTGCTTGTGTTTCAAACAATTTAAGTTCAACTCCAGTGGCTTTCAGTGCTGTTTTGAGTTAGTCCTTTTATCTTTGAAGAGGGCAACTCTGTGGTCTTTTGCTGGAAGTGAGCTCACTAAATAAGACTTGACATCAAAACCTTGACTCTTCTATTCTACATGACAGTCTTTAATGATCAGCAATTCGACTGAACAAAACTTTTGCTGGTAAAAGCGTTCTAATTTTTGGATATCACGACAATATAGAGTCTAGGTTTTGCAACCATATAGCAAAGTTGAAATGACAATAGCATTATAGACCATAATTTTTGTTAAGTTCATGTCTTTGTTGTTGAAGATGTGTGACTATTACAATTATTACATAAAAATTGTATTTTGTTATATTACATAATAAAGGTTCAGAATTCACAACTTATGCAGAAGTCACTCAAGTGTTACACAATTAGTTCCTTTATTGATATGTTACCTATAATAACTTCTTTTTAAAAAGGTTTCCTTGATTACCTTTACTTTTGGTATCAAATTGCTAAAATGGAAAAATAGCCTCAATCCATGTGTTGCAGATCTCAGAAGTAAGGTTGTTTGTCAGAAAATCTGTCAGTGTTGGAGATTATTTGCAAGTCATGATGGAAACAAAATAGGACATTTTTGGCTTGGAGTTTATTTATTTATTTATGGCCTGCACTGTTTACTGTTGTAATGAAAAGCAATTAAGATGAAAGAAATATTAGTAGAAAATTAATAATGGCTGACAAGTTGTCACCAAAGAGATTCAGATAACTAAAAAGCTATGATTATGAAGTCTAAAGATGACTAAAATTAAGATGAAAAAATACTTATAAAACTAATAATAATTAAATATTTCATCTTTTGATTATAAAATGTTTATTTTTACTTCACATTTTAAAATATTTAATAATAAGGTGAAAGCCTACATATAGGATACACTCTCTGTCTGTCTCTTTTTTCTCTCTCTCTCTCTCTATATATATATATATATATATATATATATATATATATATATTTGGTTGGATAGAAGCTCTATCTCTGATATTGAGCGCTTTTGTAATAAGTACACACATATATATATAAATAATTATAAATATATATATTTATCTATATTTATATATTTATCTATATATATATATATATATATATATATATATATATATATATATATATATATATATATAGTGAGAGAGATATTGATGTATATTTAGACAGCAACCTTTCTTTTAAACATGTTTCATTGACAGACAAGTAAAACCTTTCCAACATTCTTACATTTTCCCCATTTGGTAGGATTACAAAATTTGTCCATTGCTCCGAGTGCTTTTACCCACTTATTTAGACATTTTCAAGGGAATTTTTTTTACATGTTGTTAATTTCTCTTCATGTTTGACTGTTTAAGATTTATTTTTTTTTATTATGAGCATTTATTTGCGCTGGAATTTGAATGAGTGTTTCAACACATCATTCCCACTGTTAAACAAGGTGATATTGATTGATAGTGGGAGACAGTCAGCTACTTACTTTCTCTATTTTTTTATATATATATATACACACACACACACACACATTATGAAATGGACAAAGTCCAACAATTATTTTTAAGACATTTTTATGTTTATATGTTCTTTTTATAGATACAAATATTTAAGTAAATGCTCTGTTTATAATGAATGAATGTACATGACAGAATCATGGAAAATTGTAGTTTAAAAACAGTAAAATTGATCTTGCTAACCAAACACTCCTCTCTGGGGAAATCGGTAAAAGCACATCAGGCTATATGACAGTTCTGTATAGGATACAGGTTCAATTCCTGTTGGAGGACGCATATTTTCTATGACAATTTCTTGGACATTCAGGCCAGTAAATTTTGTTAATACTGTTTATTATAAACAGAGCATTTACTTAAATAATTGTATCTATAAAAAAGATGTATAAACATAAAATGTCTTTTTATATATATATATATATATATATATATATATATATATATATATATATATATATAAGTAATGTTTTATTTATATAAAATATAATTTAATATAAGCAATTATATATTTTACCAATTAAATGATTTTTCAATCTAACTATATTTTTATTACTATAAAAATTGCATCAAACAAAACATAGTTTTAAGGACACGGAACATCAGAACACTAAATCAATGTAAATGGAAGTTGTGGAGAGCCGTGATCGCCTATGTCCTGATGGGACACAGCACTTAGATGAAGAATTCTAGCACCTGTTGTCTACAAATACTAGAAGCATTAATCATAAAAACAAACAACCCAACATGAATAAAATTTGATTAAATTAAGGAACAAACATTAAATATTTTAAAAAAAATTCAAATGTCTTTTTGTTGTTTTTACATTTTTCTTGTCTGTCATATTCAACAAAACATGTGTGTGTGTGTAATTTCATAATGAACAAGTCATGAATAATTTTATCTGAGAGAGAGAGAGAGAAATTATTTTATCTGAGAGAGAGAGAAATTATTTTATCTGAGAGAGAGAGAGAGAGAGAAATTATTTTATCTGAGAGAGAGAGAGAGAGAGAGAAATTATTTTATCTGAGAGAGAGAGAGAGAGAGAGAGAGAAATTATTTTATCTGAGAGAGAGAGAGAGAGAGAGAAATTATTTTGTTTATTCAGCCATGGATTTGTCCTTAGTTATAATTTGGATGCTAAATGACTAGACTTTGTTGATAAGAGACAATTTCCTAAATTTATGCTCTGACCCTATTTACAGTAATCACCCACAAGATTAATAAATTCTCATTAGCTTGTCTGGCTTTCCAGACAACAGACAGTCTTTTTAGAAATAGAAGCCAATTGGTAAATAAAATTAAGTTAGTGTAATTCTAATAATAAAAATTAAATGAGAAAAACAGGACTGATGTTGGGGGTTTGGTAAATGACGTTGGTATTTGGCTTTGAGATAATTTCATTAAAGTTACATCAGAGTATCTTTATCTTTGTTGGTTTCTTAGTCGTACTTCAGCTGAAATGTTCTTTGGCTATTATCATTTTACCAGAAATCATTTTAGTTCTTTAACAATAACAATTTTTCTTCAAAATTTAAGCAAGTTTGGTTTGGTTTGTGGCATATCAAACTCAATGGGTTATGTAATGCTGACAAGATTTTTATTGTTGGTAATATTTTTTTTAAAAATGTATTGCTGGTAATAATGTATTGTTGGTAATAATTATTTACAAAAATGTATTGCTGGTAATAATTTTTCATCAAAAAATGTATTGAAGTATGTATATTGAATGTATTAAACCCAGTTTGGGGGTTAACTATTTACCCATAGTTGGGGCCCAAACAGATGCTACCACCCTGGGTCAGAGTGGACCTGGGAACACCAGCAATTAAGAGGTGGTTCCGTGCTCCTCAAAGCCTCCTGATCAGAGGCCTTGTTGTTGGCTGTAGTTTATTGTCTTATGCAGGACACGGATGTAGTTTATCATCATACTCAGGACACAAAATTTATGCAAGAAAATTAAGTTTAAGGACAATGCCACTATTGAAAAAGAAGTGTAAAAAAAAAAAAAAAGTCTTGGTCAACATTTGAAGAAAAACAGCTGTAATTTAAAATAAGCCAAAGAACTGATCAATTAAAACATGATAAAACCCAATTAAGATTAAAGAAATTAATTTCAATAAATTATG